TCGAAATGACATGATTTATACTTGTGCCGGAGTAGTATTACAAAGCGATGTACAAACGAATTCGGTATTTTGTGTGAGGAAAACGAGGAAGTTTCTACATTAGATTTGAATTATTATAATGTTTACTTTCGATCTGCCGGTATATAAACGTCTAGTTATATACTGCTACACCGACGGCACACGTTGAGGTGGAAAGTAAGTGAATTCCAACGAGTAGGTACCACGATAGAGCGCATAGAAAAAAAAAACCCGAAGACCTCAATAAGAGCCTGCTACAATGTTCTTTGGTTTGTCCGCCGATCACGAATGTGTATTACTGAGTCAAGGCCTTGCGGTCGACTCACCGTAGCGGAGGCGTGAGAATACATAATCATATTATACAGTATGATAATAATAATTATAATAACGTAGATTATGACGATGATGATTCATTCACACGGACAGTCAAAAACGCGTACGCGCTATTATAATACGCCAGTATTATTATTATTACTATATTCAAAACGTTATTAGGTCACATAATAGTATATAATAATATAATATTATTATTCGATGAAAGTTACTGTGAGATGAGAATCATGATATGGTTTCGCGGCCATTGCAAATCAAATTGAGGATTGCACGAGGGGAAACGGTGTATAGACTATAAAACGAACGTTATATTGTTTTACCGGTTATGCTCCTCTCCGAGGGGAATCCGGTCGACGGCTACATAGTGATAGTATAGTATATAATATTTATTATAATAATTATGTCACAACGAACTCCGCCGTCAGTTAACGGGCCTAATGTCGGTCCATCCAACCTCTTTCTCACTCGCCCTATCGGTCTTAGCCGACTACCGACACGAAAGAGACTCGTCTTGGTTTTTTTTGTTACCTGGACGTTGCGCAATCGGTCACCCGGATGTTTGTTGGCATCCAAAGTCAATCCGAAAATCAGCAAAAAAAAAAAAATCATTGAATTCCCAAAAAAAATATTATAGTATATAGATAAATAGTTGATTCAAAGTATCCATAACGACACTTATAATGTGCCGTCCCGTGAAATCCGGTTTCCGAAGAGGATTCGCTCGAAGTGACGAACGACTCGCTTGAAACATTATAAGCGCATTGTTGTAGTTACATTGCACTTTATGTTAATGTTGTTCCAGTGAAGACAATGAAAAATTCCATTTCAAAAAAAAAATAAAACGCACTACACTTCGTCCTCTGAACGAATTAAGTGCAAAATCAAACTTTGGATTCCCGGTTAAATGTAAATGATTTTCACATTTCACCAGCTAATCGGTCTCTTATTTAGATGTTTTATGTGTATCGTATACACTAGCCTTATACGTTTCTATGAATAATCCAGCAGGAGTAGTAGACTATTCGATACTTTTTGAAACTCTATACGGCCTTTTATTACGGAAATAATCTTTACACGAATTTGTTGTATTAGTGTCAATAAAAAAACTTTACACTGGGTTCTACCTAATATTAGGTTAAATTTAACTAAATAGCTAATTTTTAGTTAACAACCCCGTTTTTCAATAAAATCAACTACAAAATCGTGGTTGTCAATTTATTAACTATACAATTAAATTTGAGTTGTTAGAAAAACAAATCCCTTCAAATACCTGTATTTGGTAAATGCCGAAAATAAAACCCATAATTTTATAAACCGAACACAAGCTCAGTCTATACTCTATATATACTTTATCTGAGCTTTGTAAATTCTGAATAATATAATACCATTTATTACTATTTCTAGTGCCAACACGTGTGACTAAAACGTAAAGGGTGATGCCACGCTGTGTCTTATCTGCAGGTCTCATGTGCTAAGGCCCCCCCCCCCCCAATGGAGGTAAATGGAGGAAATTCATTAAACCAAGACAATCTAGACACACGATATTCACCTATCTTATGCTTATCGTAGAATAATCGCATACATTTTATGGATAGTGTAATAAATAATAATATGAAGAACAAATTATAGACTTTTCTTTTTTATAAAGCCTTGAAAATTTAATCCCGCGGCACCTAAAAGCCTTGAGTTTATGACCCGTCTCTATCTAAAATATACTCATTTCTAATAATATTAATAAAACAGCTAATGTCTGAAATCATTTCGTATGCTTAAAAATTAAACCATGTATTAACCCTGTAGGGGCGGAACAGACTAAGCATAGGCCAACTAGCGCTGCTGAACCGCTATCTATAGGTATTTAGGTAAAGTCATTTTGAGGACAGTATAAATTATATCAGTTCTATCTTAAATAAAAGAGCACCTTTTTTTTTTTACAGATTACATACACTAACGTGAGCACTAGTGTAGAATAGTTTAGTACTACTTTTAATAGTATAGCGGTTCAACGAAAATGAAACTAATCGAATCATAAACTAACCAGCGAGATGCGAATAATGACATTTATGTACGCTGCGTCGTGAGTTAGCTGTATTTTAACGTGGTGAGTAGAACCGAGGTCGATGTAGTTTTGTGTCAGACTACCGTTTTCATGTTTAAATTACAACGTTAATGTTATTATTATTAATATTTTGATACTATCTCTATAATAGATTTACTTGTGGACCGTTTGGCAATGCGACAACCAACTGAACTAGTTGTGCAAGATTCTAAACCTGCGATGTGCCGATCAATTAATATGTCAATAAAATGTCAATTGTTATTATTAAACGTGGGTTACTATAAGCCGATATAACAATTTAAATACATACAACCTCGCAAGATTTTTGTTTAATTCATGGTGAATGTGATGTGATCTACCGGTGAAAATACAAATTGTCGAAAACGGTTCTCACTTTTACCCGTTATAAAATATAAGAAGTAGCCTGCAGCGCCCGTATAGTAACCAATATTGAATGGTTTTACTGGATTAACGATTATATTATAAGCAAAAGCCGCAAGTAACTGACATGACATACATTTACGATTAATCCGTCTGTTAGTGTAAAAGTTAGATAGTTAATATTACATTTTTTTTATCCATTGGAGCTGGCAATTTAACACAGAAATATTTTTTTTTAAAAAACAAGACTCATCGCAGCAATTAAGTAAATATCAAACACCGCGTTAAGCCTGGAGAATCGAATACAACGAAATAATTACAGCCGTACTAATTATAAGGTCATCCATCCGATTATACGAATATATATTTATATAAATCTCGTATGACATATATATGAATAAAATATATATATGCAAGGACATATTTGTTTTTACCCGCAACATTCATTATGTGTACCCTGTATATTAGTGATACATTCCCTCAATGACTTACAGTAATACGTATTTTCGTAAATTATTTAAAAAATTTAATCATCAAGTTTATTTGCCATTTTTTTTTCTTAAGATAATATGGTCGTGGATTTGAGATGTACTCAAAACCCATCAACCAATTAGATAGAAATAGAAAAAAACGAACACTTATCAGCTCACTTGGAGCTGCAAGTGTTTTAAGTTTAATTTTAATTTTATTAAATAAAAAGAAGCAAAAAAGCAAAAAAAAAAAAAATTCACTATGTAAACCCCATTATACTATTAAAAATTGGTGATCATCACATTGCAATAAAAATTATATTTTCATACATAATTTTTAACACATTTTTATAAACTATAAAATTATTACTTTTGTTCTAATAATCTAATTGAACATATTAAATAAGTACAGTTTTTTTTTTTAATGTTAGTAAATTGTTAAATAAAACAAAACTAAAAAATACCTAGATATTTTTTAATGCTACAGCAGGCTACAAACGTATTTTAAATAACTAGTTTACAATGTCATATTTGAAATAATACAAAAATAATAGGTTAATAATTATTAGTTTGCTAATTAATTAAATAATCGATTCACACAAAAACCTGAATGAGACAATTTTTTAAACGGTTAAATATGTAAAATCATCATTTTCTGTTGGTTCATAATATTTTATTTTTATTTTTACATTGCCTAATTATTATGTAGACAAATTTGAGTCATTAAAAAGATGTTTTTTATGATTTCATAATTTAAGAAAGACCTGTAAATTACAATATTTAATTTCTCTACTTCTTATAATATATACCTACACATAAGTATAATGTATAACACAGGATCAATCTTGGTTAGGAAGCTTGTATCGTTGATTAAGAATACTCAAAAATCAATGCTACTATTATAAAAAAATATGTTAATTAATATAATATTTAAAATCAGTAGCATTATGATAATTGTAGATATACGGAATTTAATATAAAAAAAAAGGAATAGCATTATTCACAATTTTGTGATTAAATAAATTAGGTGCTTGTATTATATAATAAAAAAAATATAAAATATTCAATTTCGTAGTATTTAATATCATTTTCTAAGAGTTAGATAATATTAAAACGACAAAGAAAAAGACGGCGAAATTCGTCCGGTTCCGATCAAAACAGGTTTATAACTGCATAATTTTAATTATTATGCACATCATGTAATTCAATGTTATAGTCATCTTTCGGTAGGCAAAGCCCTGACATTAGATACCGAAGCACACGTTTTATAAGTTCAATATTTATCGGCATAAAACATGTAATTTAATAAACTTTATCAAGTTAACTTCTGTTATGTATGCTGTTTGATACTTATCAATTTGACTCGAAGCTTACATCTTCGCTATTTAGTTTAAGAAAATTTGAGACTAATACATTTAGTTGTTATATTTAAAAAATCTTGACTTTTTATGAGAGCTAACTTTAAATAACTAAAATACGAGAGCTGACTGAAATACTCAAATTGTTGCAAAAGAGATGACTAAACATGTTGTATGTGAAAACCGGTTGAACCGTTTAGGAAAACATTTTATTAAGGGATGAATAATAATTTTCGTGGCTTAAGTTTTTTTTAATTTTCTCCGTGTCGCAGTAGAAATCCTCAATTGGACCAATCGAATAGGATTTTTTCCCCCTGTCAATCCGATACTAGGTACCGTCTATATTATTATGTCGTTGTTATTAGATACTATGATACTCACGTCTGTTTGTCATTGTTAATCTAACACATACAATAATAGGAATAACGCGGTAACGCACACGCGTAAAAAGTGTTGTGCTGCGGATGGACGGCCGAACGGACGGAGAGCATTACGCGCGAAAACGCCTCTGAAGACATACTAAATATTATATTGGATGTACACCGGCCATGCACCGAACACACGCAATAATATTGAAACTCGGCGTCGTCGTCGGCGTTATTATATTGTAATACATATATATGTATATATATATATATATATATATATATATATACACATATGATAGGAGTACCTATCCTAAGCGCGCGCGTTTGTGTATGCGTATTAGGTAATAAACGTGGAATCGTTGTCGGCAGTGTACGGTGGCAGTGTCCGCGCACGTATTTGAACTTTCACCTGGTTTCCATACATATCCATTACTATACACAATAACACCGTATGACATGTTGTTATATACGCATCCCGATGCGTCAGACCACCCCCTACCCAAAAATAAAAAACCATAAACAAGTTGGCGAGAAAAAAAAACCGCCGCGACGACCGGCTAGATAATCCTGCGCCGTTAGCAATTGCCGTTACAAGCAAATCATATTATATTATTATATACCATTAATATTTTTGTCTGAGGCCAGCGGCTTGCGGACAAGAACACTTGGTAGAGTTAGAAGCTAGACGGGGAGCTGGGGAAGTTCAGACCCTTGGAGAAATGTCAAAGCCAGCAGAGAGAATATGGAGCTGGGTAGGATCTGAAGCCGTCGGTGCGCCAATAGAGCACAAAATTAATATTATACAAATACAGGGAAAATGTTTTAAACTTTTTACGTCCAAAAAAATATGTTAGATATTATTAAAAAATTATTTTTATGTGGTTCGAATAAATTATTGATGTTGCTGAAAGTGTTATAACGTAATGAAATAACTTTTATGAAATGTATTCGTAGAAAATATATAAAGATAGGAAGATCAAGCTTTTTAAATAAATAAATATCATGTTATCAGTAATCAAGTTATTTTTTAATTAATACAATCGAATTCAGAAATTATTTTATAACCAATATTTCGGTGTAAACCGAGCTAACACTTCAATACTTACTTCTTTTGATAATCTGTCGCCGCCTATCGTGATCATAGTTACAACTATTCTATTATAATATTGTCATTGTAGTTAATTGTCAATGAGCGCGCTTAGGTTGCACAGTGCACACCAAACGAAGAGGCAAATACAACATGAATTTTGAAAAAGAGCACTTAGCAAATGTAAGTAGAGTACTCAGAGATTTGTATTGTCTATGAAATGGTCGTTTTCGATATCTAAATCGCACTAGCAGTTGTGACGAGAAAAGCCCCACAACGATTTTTTTAAAAGCACTTCAGCGCCCACAGCGTAAGTCAAATAAGTAGGTGATGTCGTGTAGAAAAAAATTGTACATTAATTAAAAATGTTGAGTATTGCTGAGCTCATCGGAACTTGTTATCAAACGAAATAGATAATTTGTATAAGTGGCGAGTCAAGTATGGAAAAAAGCAGACCACAGAAGGCATAATAATTCATAATATTGAGTTTACGAGTTGTGCCATTGGGTACATTTGTTAAGCAAATGTTAATAATGTAATTGTCATTGTTGGGATAAATTTTCTCCCTAATACAACACCAGAAGTCTTATAGGAATTAGTAATGAATTATACTTCTTTCCAATATTGCTTGTTCTGGAATTTCCTGTGTTTGTATAATAAATGTTTTAAATAAGACCTTCTGAGTTCCTTGAAACTTGATCTTCAGCGATAGTAGCTACGTTAATATTTACATAAATAAACAAACAACAGTCAATAGTAAATGGACGTCATCATTTAGCATAGATATCAATGTCCATGACTAGGTTTAACTATGCTTAGTACTATACCTACGTAACATAAATTAATAAATATTATATTTTCATATGAAGTATAATATGCATACACTTGATAATAATATAATGGATCGCACATATCGGCAACAGGCAAAAGACAATATATAAGAATGAATAGATTAAAATATATTGCCAACTGTCTGACGACTGTCTCTATTCCACATATATCTTAATAACATAAGGTAGTGAATATACGCGGTCTATTTAATAAAAATGTCTTATGTTAACATGTTATTTTATATTTTCTTCATACAAAGACTAGATACTTTGATTCGTTCTACATAAAAAGTTGAAAAAATCTGAACTCACTAGTCTCTTCTTAAAAAGAAAAACTCCAATATTTAGGGGAATTTTACTAAATATTCATTTTATTGAAAACAATTTCACGAATTCGATTTTAAATATAATTGAGATCTTTTTTTTGTCAAGTAAATTGTATGTGTGCCCGCGCTACGATCTCCAAAAATTACATTTTATTAAATTAAAATTACAAGGCTATACATACAATTGATATTCAAGTTTGTATTTTAGTAGTTCAATAATTTAAAAAAGGAAACATAGTTATTCATATTTTTCATTATTTTTTTTTTATTTGAAAAACAAAAATAAAAATAGTAAACTATTAAAACCATAAGAATTATAATTATTACACGTAAAAGAAAATTATTTATTTACGATACAGATATCTTCATCGTGAAACCGACGTACCTAAATCTGCCATAGAACATATTGTATCAAATATTGCCTATATTTTACCCCTTAAATGTAGTCTTTCTCTTGCTACTAGTCTTGCAGTTGTTCAGGGCTAAAACAAGGATTAGCATCCTATACACCACTTGCTATATTGTATTAATCATAAATATATGATTTAATATAAAAGTAGTGTATAAAATAATCAATTATACGTGTACTACACTAGTATAAAGACTTTAACTATATCCCCGAAGAGTTTTACTATTATTGAACAAATCTGTTCAACAAGACACAACATATCAAATAGCTAAAAAAGTGTTCAACAATGTAAATTTTTGGTTAAACTGAACTTGAAAAACAAAAGACTTATTATAACTAAGTACATCTATTATGAAATATTTCATTAAAAACATATCCTTCTCATATCCGCATAATATAATACGCTTAATATAAATAATGTAATATAAATAAAAATATACTGATGAACTGTCATTATCTACTACACGCAATCAATATTATCTTTAGCAAAATGCTGAAGGCTCAATATACTATTTATTTATCTGTCATCATTATTAAATTTCATACTATTACTCCATCAGCATGCACACTACACGATCAATATTACTGTCAGTACCTAATACAAATAAAGATATAAATAATAATGATCGTGTTTAATAGTACTGATGGTTCATTATTGATAATTTATTTTTTATCAAATTATCACAACATTTATTACTTTTAAAACGAGGTTCCTTTTTACAAATCTATAAAAATAAATTTCCGCGATCTTGTTTTTTCCATAGCATTTTGGTTTAACCCTTCTGAACCGATTTTACAAATTATTGTTACCAGCACAAATCGATCATAAACTGAACAGAAAATTTCAAATCTAATCTATTTTTCAAATAAAGTAACTCACTATGATAGGTTCATTATGAACCTTTTTAATTAAAAAACTGTCACATTTTTTGGGTTATTTATCTTGTAATTTATACACATTTTTGTAGGTTCAATATCGTCAAATCTGAACTATGGCTATATTAAATTACAAATCTGAACAATAATTATTAGTGGCAAGTGGGTTTATAAAAGATATAAAGTTTTCCATTTCTTTGTAAAAGCAATTTTCATTTAGACTTGTATTTTTTTTTCTTTTTTTATAAAACATTTTAGTTTATATAATATTTGTACTGACTATTATACTTTGTAATAACAGAGTATTATTAATATTATTTGTATACATGCTTTGTAATATGTACTTATGTTCGTTTAATTGTATTAACAATAATAAAGGTTGTATTATTTGTACTATTATTATTTGATAAAGTATTAAATCCATAAAAAAATGAAATATCACAATTAACATACTTTTAGTAAAATATGTGCATTCAATTGAAATTATCACTAAAAAGCTAATTTTTCTGTACAATTCCAAAGTATATAAAACGTTTACGTATTTCAATTATCAATTAGGTAATTAAAGTAGAAACTAGTTTGGTCAATTCCAAAGGTTTTCAAATATTATTATTTGTGTACATGTTTATTCGGTAACCAGCTATGATTAAAATTTGAAGTGGTATTTAATTCTTTTAGAATTTTATGCTAAAGTAGTATATAAATTATAACATTTTTGATTTTAATATCAATTATCAAATATATATAAATATAAAATAAATAAATTACTTTAAATTGTAAATTAGTAATTAAATATATACATTTTTTTTTTAAGAATGGTCACACTGATTCATTCTTTCCGTAATATTAAGGCGACCACAGATATATATATATATATATATATATATATAATAAACTAGATTGCTAACTAGCGATAAGAATTGAAGCCGACGGTCCGCCATTCTGGTGGGATTTATGTGTGTTATCAATGCATATAATATATTATATCTGTGTATATTATTATATCGATATTTTATATATAAATGTGATTGTTATAAGCATATATTATTCTCGCGTGATAAAGTTCTAATTCCCACCAAGACGGCGGAAAGTAAATCTTCTCTATTGGTGGCATATACAGTTAGCAATCTATAGTTTATTCTTTATATCTATGATGGCGACTGATTTCGCTGCCGTCCTATGCTGCGCACGAAATTTCTTATCAGTTGCCATTTTGTTTATTATATTCTGTGATAATATATGTGCGTCACCAATTACTATATATGTGAGGCGGAAAAGGGATCTCTTGTAGTAAAAATCCAAATCGCAGTAGAGTTTTTCAAATTATCAGACTTTAGTGCAGAATTTGAAATAACCAAGAATTCAAAACTTAATTTTTGCGACAAAAGGTCCCTTTTTTCTTTCCGTCTCACATATTAATAATATTGTATTGAATGCACCTGGAGTTTAAATCCACGATGAGAGTGATAAGGCTCAGAGCCTGAGATAAAATTGTATTTTCTATATTATCTAAAAAATTTCAAAATACCGGTATGTGAATTATAATTTCTTAATTGTTATAATATTTATGTTATGAAGTAATAGTATTGTAATTGTAAGTAACCAATAGCGTTCGTTGTTAATTTAATGGTCGATCACAACAAAAAAGACAAAAATGATGTTACTGTGCCAAAGAAGTCAAGTGATACCATGGGTAAAAATTAAAACAATTTTAAATATTTTTCATATTAGATATTTTTATTTTGTTTTTAGCATCAGCGGCGTTCTTAACATGCGTGGCAGCTGGTGCAGGGATATTTACTTTTGCATCCACTCTAGCGTCGTCTCGCAAAATGGATCCAAACATGTTTGCCAAAGGTCAAACTCCATCCTCTACAATGGGAGAAACCGGTGTACAATTAGCCATTAGAGCACTTAAATGGGGATCATTCTATGCAGTGGGCGGTTGTGGATTGTTCTTTTTTGGTATTTGGAAAATGAGTGGCGCTAATGATGTGAGAATCCATGTTGACTACCATATTATGCTACGTTTTCTTAATTGATTAAAATCAAATAATTATTTTTAAAAATCTTTGTAAAACTAAAAAATTTGAAGTGTAATTGACCGTTGACTGAAAGTCAAATCGTTAACAGTTCACTTTCGAAGCAATGGATCTCATAATCCATTAAACAATGTTTTTTTTTTTAATTTTTTAAATCAATTGTAAAATCTAGTGAGTGAATTGGCGATCTTGGATCTGGCCTACCAAACAACACTATTTTATAACTCATTTAATCTAATTAAGGAAGTTTTTTAAAATTGTTTTTCTTTTATCGATAAATTAGGTTAGGATAGGCATAAACAAAAACAAATTCAATTCAAACCACATAATAAAATATGCATCTGTGAGTTAATATTTTTTTATTTTAACAAAAATTGATGTTAGCCGATGTTCTTTGAAACAAATATTCAATTACTAAACACTGCTCAATGTAAACTATTTTTGCACTAACAATTTAGATGTATTTTATTATGTATAAAACATTTTCAAAAACAACTAGTAGAATCTTTTTTTTTCTCCATACCTTAATTTGTCTCTCATAATTGTATGTAACTACACTTATTTCTATAATTAAAATTACATTTTTGTAATTCAATTTTTATTTCTATTTTTAGATGCACGAGTTTAGGATGAAAATAGGTTCTTTATTGCCAAGATTAACTCCGACAGTTCATAAATCTCGGACAGAATTTGAGGGCCTTTCAGATTTAATGACATATTTGGCCACAGACTATTCTGGACAAACAATAAAAACTGAAGAAACTTCTAATAAATCAAAGGATTAAAATCATACAATTTATTGATAGAAACAACATAACTTATTTTTAAGAATTAAATAGTAATCTTGAAAATGAAATACCATGATTCTTGAATAATATATTAACAAAATTAGTACTTAATAACAAAAAAAAAGTTACAAAACAAAAATAAACAAATTACTACATTTAATTATAGTCAAGTATATATCCACCATTATATGTATAAAATATATTGTTATCCTTCGATGAGTTATATACATTATTAATGTAACTTAATAAAATATATAATACAATAAAAAAAATTGCTTATCAATTATACTGTAATTATTCTTATATTAAATAAGATAATCATACTTAATTAGACAATATACATTTTTTAAATACAATGACAATAATATTGTGGTTTCTACATTAACATAGATTGTATCGTACCCATGTTTCAGAGATCAAAATTTATTGTAAAATGATCTTATACCTAAAAGGACAATAAAACATCACCCCAAATGATACACTAAATTCAACACAATTGATTTATCTATTATTAGTTAATTACAATATAAAACAATAAAATATTTAACAAAATAATAAAGTAATAAATTTAAAAAAAGTATAATGTTAATATTGTAGCAATTTCAGCTTTTTTAAAAATAATAATAATAATAATAAATTAATGACTAAACTTGTAAATGGAAATACACTTAAAAGTATATTATGTCAATTGCGGGTCGGAAAATACTATAAAATATATGTTTAACATTTGGACTATTGATATCATAAAATATAATAGTAATTTTTTTAATTTTCTTTTTCACTAAAAATTATTTGTTAGCCCCCGACTTTGACAGTTCGCCACCTACCACCACATCGACAATTTCTTGCCCACCTGTTTTCCCAAACTCTTATTGCTGCGGTTCTTGAGCTACCAACTAATTGCATCTTGCCCTCACATCGATTGCATTGTTTAACAGTCAATGGACACTTTCCAATGTAAACGTTTCTGATCACATCGTAATCATTTACATAGTCGGAGTGCTGTTTGCCGTTAGAGATTGTGTCAACGGTGGACGTATTGTACCTCAAACAATCTGGTTCTTGTCCAAAAACGAGTTTGAGAGGCAAATGTTGATAGTATAGGGCAGGCGACGCAACTTCATGAATTCCTGCAGCTACTGACGAAATAGGATTAATGACGACTTGGCTTTGAAGTGTATAACATTCATCAAATAACATATCGTCATGATCTCCGCAAAGTTGAACAAAACGTGACAATAATCGGAATGTAACAGAAAGAACATCTAAATTATCAATGTTTTTTATAAACACCGGAAGACAATTAGGCCTCAGTAATCCCCAAATACGTATCATAACTAGTAGTTCTCGTATTGTGTTAATAGCGTAAAAATCATTTAAAAGATTGTAACCAGTAGTATCACGCGATTCTGGTATTCTAGAAACTACGTTTAGAGCAAGCTGTGCAACCCATTGGATAAGTTGATGAAGTGATTGTAGAGTACTGGGTTCGACAGTAAAATCTTTGCCTCCTAAGCTTGGTAAAATCTTGTCAATGTCGACAATGGGTTCTTTAAGAACTGTGGTAAGGCTCTCAGCTGGATCCCGATCCGCCATGATATCACTTACACGTAATACATTCTTGAATGCATTTGATATGGAATGAAGTGTCATCAAGTGCATGAGGTCTGATCGCTTGAACTGTGCTCCAGGCATCATTTTATACAGAAAAGAACGAATGCTCAAATAGGAAGTATACTCTTTTTGTTGAAGGACTTGCGACTGTTTTTGAAAGTTCTCAGTAAAACGATTGCAAACCGCCTCCAGCATGTTTGGCCTTAACGATATCGCTAAGTCCCACCAATCAAGACCGGTCACCAAACAGTATTCTAGTTGTAATGTGGCATATGCAACTGTTAATGGTCCATTTAGTTCTGCTACAGACAGTAGTTGAAATAAATATAAATTACCCATATTATCACAAACAACAAATACATTTCCTAAATAAGATATATCTAGATCTGAAAACTGTATGTTGGAACTATGATTTAATCCTATTTTTCCAATATTGTCTTCGCAATAACTGCTCAGTTCAAACAAACATTGTTGTGTCAAATCTCTTGACAAACAACAAACCTGATGATTGCTAAATGCGGCCACTACGTATTGACTGCTTGATGATTGATTGTACGATATTGACATTTTAGGTGTTGCTAGTGCTGTTAGTTGAGCACCGACTGTAAATGAATTCTTTTTTATCCAGCCGACAGTTGGATGATCTTCAGTGATCAGTTTTTTAAATACCTTATTGATGGGATTACTTTTTTTCACCAATTCCCATGTTTCTATAATGCATCCGTTACTGCTGTTGCTGCCAATTACAAGAGATTCAGAACCTTCGCGTAATAAAAACTTCACATGTGATATAACTCTGTCAATGGTTTCATTAAACGTCAGGAAAAAGCTAGGCAACCACTGAGATACTATGGTGCAACTTTTTTCATTAAGCAGCTTTACGGATACTTCATAACAATGAATTGGCGACCGTGGTCGTCCATCTGAAGTTACAATAAGAAAATTTCCATTTTGTCTATAGCTAATATCTACAACAGATATACGATATCTCGCTACAGCTAAACTATTTGTCGCTGAAATCATCGGTTCACCACAATCATTTATTAATAGAGCTGCAATCATCCCTGTTGCAGATACAACTAAGCAACCAGGCAGTCCTGTACCACCCCATGCTCGTAAAGAAGGTGTGAATCGCACATAAGTGAATTTCTCAAAATAGTTTATATTGTCAGCTTTATCATTAACTAGCATCAACTTTTTGCCTAGATGAAAAAACGTACCGGCTATAATAGGTTCACCACGGAAGTCTTTGGAACCAACTTGTATCCAGTTTGTAAGATTGTGGTCTGTACTACAAGTCCATACCGATACTATACCATTCTTGTCACCGATCAACAGTGAATACCCATACATATCCCACTCTAAAGTAGTTATGGTACAATTATTGGACATAATCTTGTGATATTTCCATGGAACATTAAGGTCAGCTATGTAGACATGTGAACCCCAATTAATGTTGACGTGATCGTCCAAATCAAAAGTAGTTACCCAAGCGACGACGTTGTTGGCTGATATTTTAGCCAAACATTTGAAGCACATATCCTCTTCCATCTGTTCATTTTGAAATTGTGTTTTCCACGCTTGTTTGCGGAATATCGAGTACACCAAGTCCATTTTGCCGGCCCGATTTTCGCATAAAACTTTAACATAAATTTTACCGTGCTTATATATTGAAGATCTACGAGGCGCTACATTTACAACAATCTGTTTATAATTACTCAGGACACTATCGGAACGGTTTACAATATAAAAATTTGGAAAATATACTCTGGAAATTGTTGAACGTAAACAAAATGTTTTTTTTTTATCATCGCTCAAGCCTCAACAGTGAACGCAGAACGCTATCATTTATCAACACAACAACACAACTTTTGCGACGTTGCCGGGATTCGTTCTCACTATTCAAATGTTGTCTGTTATCAGTATTTCACCGCCGAGGCGCAGTCAACATTGCGCAGAGCGTAGCAGCTACACAATCCATAATCAATAATCCTCAGTCCTTTAGTATACTTGTATATGGTCGTCTACATACTTCTCTGTTCGACTAGTGAGTGTTGGCGGGTAGCTGAAAAAGTAAAATCTTAAAATCTCAAACCTTTTTTGTGTCAAGTTGATATTTAATGCAATTTGTTTTGTAAAACAACAAATGTAAACACTATTACTGGTTGCCTGCACAGTGTACCTTATGTCAAAAATTTAGATGTTTTCGACACAATAAGTATATCTGTACATATTCCTAAAAAGCGTAACAATAAACAAGTGAGATTTGTAGTTTGACTCAAACCGATATAATTTTTATACTTACATTGTCCTAATGTTTTGTTGCTAGTGGAAAACCAATCCAATATGAGTTCACCGCGGCCAATATTGCCTTCTACCTATGTTACTCAGCCAATGTCACATAACAATGCAATAAATTTACAAACGGATTTCACGTCTCCTCCTCCACCACCATCTCTCAACCATCCTAATTATTGGCCTCAACCAAACTACAGCGGAACTTGGCAGCAACCTTATCATATACAAGGGCCAGCTACGCCAACCAGTACAACCATCACTACTTGTACAAGTACTACTATTACGTATAGCCCAACTACTAGCTCCGGCATTAGATCTTCTTCGCCTCGCTGGCGATTTAACAATAACTCGAGACAACAACGTCCTTTCCCATATGGAAGTGTTCCTAGAAACAACTATCCCAGACAATTTCCAGTTAACAGTGTATGTAAAATTATACTAATCAGCATAAAAAATAATAATAGTATTAATAACTCGTGTCTATCTAATAGAGTGGAAATTTCTTTGGCAATGGTGCTCCAAATCAGTCAAATTCTTCATCTCAAAACTGGCAACAGTTTAACCAAAGACCTCGATATTTACAAAGACAAAATGTGCGAATGAATAGGCCACGTACTACTGTTCAAAATCAGACCAACGGAATAAATCAAGTTAGACATTAACAAATATTTTTATCGCTTGTTATACATTATAAATTATTCTTTAGTTAATTTGAAATATGTAATGTTTTTTTTAATAATTTAAATTTAAAAAAAAACTAGGAATCAAATTCTGTCACTGAGTGTAAGACGCGCAAACGTAAGGTTAAGTCTCAGCAACCCGGCGAACCACAACGTGCCCAAAAACCGTGGAATCGTGAAGATGCAGAAAAAGCTATTGCTGCCGAAATGGAACTACGTACTCCAAAAAATAATAAACAAATTATGATAAGATTTCCTGACCACGAAATCACCCGGCAAATAGTACAAAGTTTTCATTCTGACATAAAGTCTGTACATTTCCATACACCTTGTAATCCGAGGTAACTATAATTTGAAAATTTAAAGAGGTGTGCTCTAATTTTAATTTATACAAATTTAGGTATTGCTATGTACAAGTACAACCAAATGCAAATATAGATAATGTAGCTAAGGAGTTGAATGAAACGATTTTTCAACATGAAAAATTGCGCGTTGAAGTTAAAGAGAGTCAGTTTGAAGAAAAAGCTTTTCCAGAATGCATTGACCCCTATACGTTAGTTACTATATATAGTTACCGTTTATATGATTGGTCAATTGCAACTTTTTTTAATTTTCAGTTTATATCTTGGTAATTTACCAACCAACATCACTTCTAATGCAGTTAAAGATGAATTTCCTAAAGCTACTAGAGTTGATATTGGATTTGCTAAAAAAATGAAGTACACAAGGTATTGATATTTATATCATATATATATATATATATGTACAATATGCTAAAATTATAACCAATTTAAAATATCAAATAATAATAATATGTATATTTAATCTATAAAATATGTGTCTGCTAAATTTACTTAAAAAACAAACTTTTTTGCCCTTACATTCAGTGTAAAAATAAACTAACACATTCACGTTTATTTTTTCCAAAATTGAAGTTTTCACGTTCTTACAAAAAAAAAAAATTAACAATTTGTTATTCATTTTTTACATTTTTATTTAGAACAATTATTAATATCATAGATTATAAAAACATCTTTTAATAAATAAATTGTTTTATTTTATTACTTCTATGTTTTTAAAAATATAATGTTAAACCTATACATAGAATGATGTAAACGTCTAAAACATTTTTAAGATTTTATAACAGATTTTTTTGTCTATTGAGTTCATGTTTCAAAAATGTTTCCGTGATATTCCATGTATACTACAAAATTTTAGTACAATTTTTAAAAAGTATTCTTTTAAATGTCAAAACAAAATTTCTTTGTGAGAATGTATGATAAATGAACAAATCAAAAATTGTTTCCGATTGACAAAAATCTGAATACATTAAAAAATGGAAGGGTTCTTTAGAAATACTGTGAAATATAAATTGTTTTTCAATAAATCAATAATAAAGTACCTATGTTTTAACTTTATAGGTATGCATTTATTAAATTTTCAAATGCTGAAGATGCTATTCAAGCATACAAAGAAAAGTATAATCTAGTTATTGATAGCCGATCAGTTGTACTAAGATTTAGGCGAGGCAAAGGCAATGTAAATCCACCTGGACAAGTTGATAAACTGGTAATTTAATATTAAAGTTCAAGTTATATTATAGTTTTAAAAGTTCTTATAATTGTATAATCACTTTTATGTAACACTGTCTTCATGCATTTTTTTTTAGCCAAACGAAATGAATGAATATGATGCTCGAAAAGAAATTAAAAGTGAACCTAAAGATGTAAGGATAATAATAAATTTATATTGGACCCAATAATAATATAATTATCACTTTTTGTTTTTCATCAAGGAAATGTATGATTATTTGCAAACTGAATATGAGAGTACTGAAATTAATATATCTCGTGTCAAATCAGAAGTCATAGATTATGAGGATAATGAAGATGAAGATGCCATTTTTGAATGTGCTAGCGAAACTAGTGGCGATATTATAATTAAATCTGAAACTCGAGTTTCTGATAACGAGTATGAAGATGATTATGATTACAGTGAAGACGAGCGTGGTCCAACCTATAAGTTCTTCCCCAAAAATAACATGGTAGTTGAATCGTACTCTGGAAATGGTCAAACACAAACTGTTACATCAATTGTTGAAAATAATGACGATATACCTCATGTAATCACAAATAATCTGTTTAAATATGTAGTTGAGTAAGTATTCAATTATTAAAATAATTTTTTTTTTCAAAGGTAATTCAAGATGAAGATCCAAGATGGTTGGCGGTAGACGACATCCAAGAAGAAGGAGGAAAAAAAGAAGAGTCGCCTTATACATTTGATCCATCTCTAAAGATTAAGTTAGAAAAAAGTGATAACTCTAATGTAAGTATTATTAAAAACAATTATATTAAAGATTTGGTTGTACATTATATAGACCTAATCTAAAAGTAAAAACCTACTCAGTTATCTGTCACGTAATTATTAAAAAATAAGAAAATACATTGTTATGCAGTTTAATGAGCAATGCTGCCATTATTGTATGGTGTATTAACAAATTCTCTTTTGGGCACGAAATGTCAGTTTGATGCTACAGAGCATGGCGGCTACTTTTCACAAAAAGAACCGCCTGACAGAGTGTCAGAATCATATATAATAGTATTCATTATTTCAAAAACAACTAACTAATTGTACACTTATACTCATGCGAATAAGTCTTATAGATTTACAATCATATAGGTCTTCATATAATCATACAAATTATAATTATATATGTATTTTTGTTATAAGACTACAAGTGAGATAGGAGATGGTCAAATCTTGACTGACGGTACAGGGTACAATTTTGAACTTGTGGGTGTTCCCAGGATGGAGGCAAAAGCTGATGAGCCAAGTGAATTTGTGGGTATGAAAAGATACAACTCACTTGTTGGACTTGAATAAAAACTGAATATTTTTTTACTAATAAAGTTACTTGAAAAATATAAATGATGTTGTTTATGATATTATAGGTGGAAAAAAAAGAAAGAAGAACAACTCCAATCTTGATAATAATACTGGTTAGTCAGTTACAGGAGTTCTAATATGAAAAAGAAAATTAGAGGTATGTGTGAATTACTAGCTTATTTGTGTTTTTATGTTTGCGCTTGTATGTTTTTTTGAAATTTTATAACATATTCTTAAGAATTACTAATATTAGTATTCATATTACGTAAAAGCTACACTTAGTTAAGTAGTAGCCGAATAGAACTCATGAATAAGAAAAGTTTGGCTGATGAGTCATTCGTGTCTAGTATGTACCAATTAGGTTAAGAAAAATGCGAACTACTCATGAATAAAATGAATTCTTGCTATTGAGTGTGTCGCGGTACTTTCTAACGTAAAATGCAAATGCCAAATACAACCAAAATAATATTGTTATTCCTAGGTTTGGGTTATTTGGCATTTATTAAAAATAAATGTAACAATTAAGACTGGCCGAATCATTATTTTATCTTTTTTCTTTATTTTTATTGTTAATTTCTTATTCAATAATATTTTTTAAGTTTATTTGATTTTTCAATTTCTTCTATGAAATCCCCATGGGATTTTTTTTCATTTACAGTCTTGTTCACCCGTGAGGCCAAAGGGGTATTTATTTTTGTATTGGCCCGGTTACCGGGTCACGTCGAGAAGCACAACTGATGCACATGTACTGAAGCGACTGAAGGTGAGATAAAATAAAAAGCAAAGTCAAATCTCAATAGACACACACTAAAGTATATATACATAAAACCCCCAAAACTAACACAGTACAAAATTGGTTTTTACTTTAAATGTTTAAAGTGAATTATAATATTTAAAACATAATTATGAATATAAATACTAATATTAGGCATTAGCATACCATTTTCATTGCTGCATGTAGTATTTTTTGTTGTTGTTTAACAGATTTATTTAAAATATTTTTCAGTTTTTGTTTTAAAATACATCAAGTCAAAAAATCATTATGTATTACGTAAATAAATGTATTACATTTTTTTCCTAGCTATTTTCTTGTTTGTTAATGTGTCAAAATGCTTTTTTAAAGTAATAATCACTGTAAACAATTTTAAGTTAGCACTTGGCATACAAATAAATATTTTAAGTTTGCTTTTTTACTTTTTAAAAGTGATAGGGATTTTTCTATCAGATTTTTGGATTATAGTTTAGGAAAAGTAAATAGGGAGATAGATGACCAAACAAAAACTGCCTGTAGTTCAAAATCCAAACAGTAAACATATAAAATATTGGTAACTATTAAAAACTAGTAAACTAGTAAAAACTAAACAAGTTTTTCCCATCATTTTTTAGTCTTGATATTGTTTAAGTATCTTTAAATGTAATGTTATGGAAGCATCTTTTTTTATCTAATTGTGTACAATTTTTTTAGTAGTTAAGTAAACAAATAAACAGTTGCCAAAAAAAAAAATATTTATCACGCGCGACAAGGACGCCGCTGGATTAGTGTTATATCCAGTTGCTGATAAATGGTAGTTTATAAGTTACCTAACTTTACATACTGTACCTTTAATTTACACATATTAATTTAAACTAAAATTATGATTTATATTATAATTTTACTGACAGATTACAATTTAGAACAAATATAAAGATAAATTTTCTTCAAACATATATGTTTGTAGTTGGGATCATGAAAAATAAGCAGTGCAAAACATACGCCCTTCCGCTTATTTTTGGTTTTATTGAATTATTATGTTTATAGACTCTTGTACTAGTTTAATAAAAAAAATTATTATTATTGTAAAAACATTAAAGTTTTAATGATTTCTGCTATTTTATTGTTTTTAAGATTGTACCTTGACTATGGATTCAATGATATTACAAACAAATATTACTAGTAATAATCCAAGAGATACATTTGGAATAGTTTTAATCAGTAACAGCTAATTCTCCTCGTTTGGTATCGTTTTTAAGAAAAATAATTGGTATCCAAAATTTAAATATAACTGTATATATCTGTAATCAAAAACTTTTATTGAAAGAAAACATAAGCAGATCTCAGTAGTAAATATAAAAATAAAATACAAATTTTATTATTTAAATTTGAGTTATCCCTTGTCATCAAAGTTGCCAAAAAAAACCATCTGGATTTTTTTAAATAAATTGTGGTTTTGCAAATTTTGCTTGTTGTTTGTTTAATATTGTTGTTATAGTATTTGTTTATATTACAATAGCATGCACTTTGTTAAACATACTTTATTTTACTATATAGAAATTACTTTTTTTGGTTTTATTAAGTTTTATTTATTTATAATGGGTTTATTAGTAGTATAGTTTTAACTTAGACTTATGTTGTGTAACAAAAATTAATCTTATTATTAGTTATACTGAGACCAAATATTACATTCAAGTTTACTCACCATCAGAAACATAGTTCTACCTAAAATACTTTTTTTCATTGTGTTGCTTTAATATTAATTTTTTTTAAATTTTAATTATTATATATTTATATAGTTACACACAGTCACAAAACACAATGTTAAATTCAGTTTTGAGAGTATAAACTTTAACTACATGTTAAATTATCGATTTATATTTGTGTAATTATAGTAAACAATTTATGACAAAATATGTATTCCAACATTTTCATGAATTTGCATCGGTGATTTACTTATGTTTCTACTTGTTACTGTATCGACTATATAATTATAGTTATATATTATTGTATTATTATTTATAATTATTCTTAATATACCTTTTAGGTTAAGTTTTGTTGTACTATGTTTTTTTAATTTAAAGTTTTGCATATTCACAAACAGTAGGGAGGTGTTAGTCTTAGAATCGGGATTAAAAAACTCTTTTACCTTAATATGGTATACACCTACAAATATTTATTATTTTAAATTTAAATTAAAATTAAAAAAATACCTTTTTCTTCTGCTGTTTAAGTAGGTAGACATACTCTCATCGTCTCTTGACACTTATCCCCTTTTAAAAAATAATTTACAAAAGTTACTGAAAGTTAGTATTTGAAACTAATATTAAGGAATATAAAAAAGTAGTTATCAGTATAGATAGTTAGCCATTACATTTATAAGAACATTAAATATTATCGAGTTCGCTGCTCCGGTTTGGATAATTTATTATCTTAACGATACTTGGCAACAGCCAATTTCGTTTGACTCTACAATTTAGTTACACAATATTATTTATGTAGATATGTTGCATTTTTAATAAAACAAAATGTTAACTTTATATATTTTTTTCTAGGACTGTTAATTATAGGATCAAAATCAAAGAGGAAATAGAACAAAATGACATGCAGATTGTACTATTAACATTTTCAATTATACTGGAAAAACGGGTTCTTCACACATTCCTTTTAAATAGAGTTTACTCGGTATAGTATTGTCTATTATTTATTTTACATAATATAGTATCATACATTGTATTTACTAGGTTTTATTTGTAGTAAAAAAAAAAATAACAATAATTTCCTACTATAATTATACATGTATTCTATTATTATTATTATTATTATTATTATTATTATTAGAACAATTGATGATAAATAGTTTTAAGTTAAAACTTTATTACTGACACATCACAATTTAACTTTGATTATGTAAAATAAAGTTCTTTAACTGATATTACTCCCACCTTTAGTGCATAGCTATACACTTCAAATAATATCATTAAGTATACATTCATAATCAAGGATAATAATATTATATACAGTGGTGTAATTGTATGGTTCCAACAGTGTGTATTCGCCACCCAAGCATTATGCCTGTATTCTATTACAGGGGTACATGATTTTCGTTATACATTTTGTATACATAAAAAATGGGAGGTGAGTACACAGCATACATCCTTCCACCTATGCCACTGATTGTATGTACCTGTAACTTTTAAATTATTATATAGTAGTAAGTGTGAACATTAATTGTTGTGTGAATAATCTTTTTTTTTTTGTTAATAATTTTTTTAGTAATAAGTTCCATATCGCTATATTATTTGTGTTAAGTTAATATATATTTCTTAAAGTAATGTTTTTCATAATTCTATGTATTCTTACATTCTAACTATTCTTTCCTTTTAGTTTTATACTGTGTTTTTGATACTTCAATTAACATTACGTCGTATTATTATTATTAATTTAACCTCTATTATTTGGTTACAACAAAAGTATCGAATATATTAAATTTTAACAAAATTACAATAAATTTTCCTGATCCATAAAATCATAACTTATTATAATAACATGTATTATTATACTTTTAATTAAATGATACTTTTTGTTCAATTATTTCTAATAAGTATAATATATACAAAACATTTTTTTAAAAAAAAACTAAAATTTGCTTACTAAAAACTTTAAAATTTGCTTTTATGGTTTGGCATAGTTTATGTAACAAGTGTATATCAGTGTATAATATGATCTATTATAGTATAACGTATTCTTACTTTTCAATACTATATTATTAAAAAATCTGTTATTAATGAAAAGAATATTTCATTTTTCCTTGTATTATGTATACAAAATAATGAGTGTTTTTTAATAGTGTTTTATTATTATACTTCAGTGTATTTAATACTTCATTTATATAATGTAAAATATAAACTAAATTAAAAAAAAATGTTGTTTGCTGAACAAATAGATAAATCAGGATGATTTTTTTCTAGTCTTAAACGCTTTTTCAGTTATTTTAAACGTGTGTTTCATATATTTGTCTTACTTTCCTATTTTTCTATAATATGTATCATGTTTGAGTTTTTATTTTGATTTATATATTTTCAAACAATATTGTTTTACTGTCAATTTTTTTTATTTTTGAAATAAATGATTACTTAGCATGCAAACCAATATTTATTTAAATTTAAAACTTTCATTTTCTTCCTTAACTTCAACATGCCTAAACCTCTTAGTCGAATCGGTTTCTTTTTTCCTGCTTTCGACACAACTCCCAAATTACTTCCAATACACTTTTTCCTAATTTCTAAACTGAGATACACTGTGACAGCACAAATATACAGAACTTAACATAATGATTAAAAATTTGTTAAGTTTGACTACAAAAAATGTTTATAAGCAAACACATTTTTTTAGGTCAGGTTGTTCAGGCGTAAGTATAGTGTATTATGTCTAATGACCATTCTCACCAATTTGACTTGAAATATGAGTGTTGCTGATGAGCAATCTAGCGAAAACGACCATAAATACTGTATTTGAATTTACTCATTTTAAAAATATATTAAGTTTTTTTATTTTAGTCTACGACCTGTCAGTTTGAACAACTCTTGCTCTACTAGAGACAAGGGTTGTCATCCTGGGGAAGTGGTTATGGTGCAGCAGCTTCCTGTTGCCTTCCGCACCAGTCGGGTGACCATATCTCTCTCCAGACGGTTGCCCGCCCAGCTAGAGAAACGGCCAGTGACCGAGATTCGAACCACGGCTAGTGCCTAGAAACACTGCCGCGGTAATCTTAGTCACGACGCCACGACAGTATTAAGTTATAATAATGAATTATGGAAAATATTCACAAAACCAAATATATAAATTATAAAAATAAAATATTTATTTCACAAATATATTAACAAAAATTTGGTATTTACAATTTCTTTTTTTTTTTAAATAAATTAAATCAATACAAAATATTAACACTATTTTTTTACTTTCATGATACCCTTAACCCTTAAATAACGTACAATTAACGGAACAGACACAAGTGTAATTGAAATACGCACTGGCGCGAGAGATTTATGAATAGCATAAGCTATGATGAACTCACTAGCGCCAGCTACGATCTTGGAATTTTCATCTGCATTTGACATACCCAAAAGGCCAATCCACTGTTGCATGTCTACGCCATTAGAGATCAAGAAATAAACTGTACCCAACGATACCAATGATATGCCAACATGAAAAGCGATCAAAACAGAACCATATTCTTTGGCGGCTTTTTTCAGTTTTTGAGGTGGTGTTAATTCTGGTGCAGAAGCTGTTGAATAACAAGGTTGGCTTAAAACCAAAGGTATAGAAGTGTTCCTTATATTACAACGTTTGAAAAGACGATGCACTTCATGTTGCACTGGTTTATGAGCAAAACTTGAATACTGAAAAGTTTTCTGTATTTTTTTAGATAAACCAGTTACCTTAAATTTATAAGATGATTTCATTAACGATAACACTGCAGAAGACATCTCGTTTATAACTTTACTACACAATTTGAGATCTCTTCGGCAAATAGTAAATTAAGCTATACTAATATCACAGATTAGATTGTATGAATATAATCTGTGATTGGAGTATAAACTTATCAATAAGACTTGATGTATGATAAGACAACGGTTAGGATTCCAGCTGCTGTCAGGCTCCAAAACTTTAAAGTCAAGTGTGGCAATGTAAAATGTAAATACATTCGTTTTTATTGGAACCACTAAAATGTTTGTGTTTTATTTAATTTTGTACTACATTAAAGTGATTAACATATTACAATTTAAGAAATGTTTGTGTTTAATAAATTACATTTACATCCAAAATTTGCAGTATTATTATTAATAATAATTTGTTTAATAATGTTTGTAGAATATTTTATGGAGCTCAAAATGTATTTCTATAATATTTGTTTGAAACAATTATACTGAACCCTAACATACTCAACCTATTCACATCTATATTTTCCGAAAAGTAGTCGATCTACCTCTACGGCTCTACCAGGAAAAAAATGTGTGATCTACAACTAATTTTGATTAAATATCACCAACTTTTTTGGAGAGGGGGCGAAGGAAGGCCCAGAATTTCATTTAGTTCCTTTTCCCATTTTCATTTTTCAGTCGTTTAATATTTTAGAATGTTTAAAAAATGGAAACAACTAAAATCGACCGTCTATATAATTATGATGACATCTCGTATCAAATATCAATGCAGAAGGGTTTTTACTTATTATGATATTAACTAATTTTACGTAGACTAACGTATAAGTCTATATTTTTTTAAGCAAATATTATTTAAAACGAATTTATTCCATTATCCATAAATAATAATAGACGTAACGAAGTGTTTTTTACAACTTGATCATAGCATAAAACCATAGAGTAATAATAAATAGAGATGACGTTTTTATTATCCATGGTTGTAACTTGTAACTGATTTGAAACTAAACCGTCGGTCATTGATCCAGGTCTAAAGTCACTTTAATACATAGTGTAATAGAGTACATATAGATAAAAAATATATATATATATATATATAATAATAATACACAGAGTCACACTGATCTGTGTCATTTTGCGCCTCAGCGAAATAATCAAACGTAATAGGCGAAAATTCGTAGAAACACATTTAGGAGGGCTATTCATTTTTTTTAAGCTTCCTTAATTTTCGCCTATGGACACTTACACAAGTGTTAAAAAAAAAGTCCAATAGCTAATATTGTCTGTTTATGGATATTATAATATATATTTATACAAAACATTTCGCAGAAACAAAAAACGACGAAGCAATTTGTCAGTATGTACATTTAAGATTGAAAGGTCATATTTTAGATAATATGATGTTACATATATACATACATAAGTACATTGCTATTTAGAAATAGGTAACACGCAATATAAAACAAATGCGCAGTATTTAAATCATAGAAGCCCAATTTGTGAAGTGCTACTTATTAAAATTTAAACATTTGGTCAGCTAGAGTAGTAAAAATATACACAAAAATTGAAACGCAATATTCTCGATTCTCACTGTAGTTCGTATTTTTACTATAGGTCATAGGACATCTTCCGATTTCCGAATAGTGCGGTTGCGCTTATCTTTTATTATTATTTTGAATTTTCTTTATGGATAAAATAAATCATCGCCCAACGCCCGGTAATCATCTGTCTTATCTCTGCTTTAAGTGTATAAATACTGAAGTATCTGAAGATGCTTGCTGTGGGTGCCAAGTTGAACTATATTCTATAACGTTAATATATCATTAAATATTTTACAATATATAAATTGCTTTACCGTCAATTTTTAGAGTACACGTGGTTAGAACATTCACCTTGTCAAACATTATTAGTCAATATACATGGATGATGAAACACTACATAATTATTAAACAACATTAAAACTCCACATCGAAAAGAAAACGGAATTCCATGTTTTTAAATCAGAATTGTGCATGTTTTGAAAACGATATTATTGTATAAAATGGAGAAATGGTTGTTTCAGTCAATATGGATTGCCATGTTTGGATTCTTCAAAGAGTTTCGCCCCGAAGATCCGTATATTACTCAATACCTGACCAATCCTCCTATGAATTTTACAACGGAAGAAGTATGTTTTGCATAATTCATTTTAACCCAACTGTTATTTAGTGAACATTTTTAACTCGAGTCTCGTTTGTCATTTTTTTAGATCGTGCAAGAAATATATCCAGTAGCCACCTACACGTGCGTTATGTTGACAGTCATAGTGTTTTTGATTACCGATTATCTTCGTTATAAACCAATTGTGATACTCAACGCTGTATCTAGCGTAATGGCTCAATTATTATTGATTTTTACCAGAACCATTACGTCGATGAAGGTATTTGAATAATACGTTTGCCAATATTTACAAATTTAAAATTATTTACTCCATATTATATAGGTAATGGAAGTTTTTTATGGAACTATGACCGCTTGCGAAGTTGCCTATTATACTTACATTTATTCTAAAGTAGAAAAAAAACATTACAAAATTGTATCTAGTCACATGAAAATGGCTTGTTTAATAGGCCGACTTGTGTCTGCTCTAATTGCTCAAGTATTAATTGATTATAGTATATTAACAGTGCCACAATTAAACTATATGACACTAGGTGGTAAGTAATTTTATGTTAATAATATTATATGTACATTTTTCAAAAGTGAATATAGGATTTTACTTGTAATTTTTTTTTATTGCCATGACATGCAATTATTGATTTTTTAATATACATTACCAATAGATGTGTGAAATAATTATTCATAATGATGACACAGTAAATACAATTAGTTATCCTTATGTTTTTATTGTAATTAAAAGTTAAGATTATGCTATTTATTTAGACAATATATGTTTTAAAAACACTTCATTATACAATTTAAAATTTAATTGAGTTTTTTCATTTCGATTATCATTTATCATTAATGACAAATTTAAATTGGTTCCTACTTTTTTTTTTTTTAGACGTTTTGTGGCATCAAAAAATTTCTAAAATATTTTAAAGTGAATAATGTATCTTAAAAAATGTACAATTATGATATTCTGCTGAAAAAAATATTTTTTATCAAAATACCTATTCTTAAAAAAAAGTAACTTATAAAATAATGAGTATTTGTCAGTATGTTTAATCTATCTATCTAATTTAAATTTTTGATCATTGTGGCAGTTTCTTAAGGGAAAAACAGCCAAAAATTATAAAATATTATAGTATTATTATTATAATTGATATTAGTTTAAAACATATCTTAATGTGTGTATTTAATAATTTAGGTGGACTTTGTTCTTTACTATGGGCTTTTGGATTGCCATCCGTCAAAAGTAGTTTATATTTCCATCAAAATCCAGAACGTACTTACATAGGTGAAACGTCGAGTAAGATTTTAATATTGTTTTACATTGATGTGTTTTTATTCTTTATGTTTATTTTTTGTCTGGAACTAAGTTTTATTTTTAACTGCCAATCTGGTTTTTTCATGTAGCGAGTCTACAGATCAGAAATTGTATCCAAATGTACTTTATGAAAAGTAAAAAAATGTTGTTGAATTTTAAGTAAACAATTTTTGAAAATGCTTGTGACCTCTCTGTCTCTTTTAATTATAATATGAAATTAATTGATGTACATTTAAATTTGTTTACACAGGAGTCAATGTATTCGACACTCGTACGGTCTGTCAACGGTTGTGGTTTGATTTTTACACCGCTTACTCCAACCCTTATGTTCTTCAATGGTGTATATGGTGGTCGTTGGGCACGTGTTTTTATAGTCAGGTTTGAATGGTTTATAAATTTGTTTTTTTGAAAATAATACAAGACTAACTATTTTAAAGTAGTTTATATATTCGTTTAGAATTATATGAAATTAACTGTTTTTGTTAATGTATAGAATGTTGCCATAGGTGTTTGATCTGCAATCTTATGCAATTGTATAACATTTGACACATAAAAATCGTCATCCGCCCAGAAACTCATGGTAATTATTTGTGTATTTTAAATTGAAAATGAAGGCATTTTATCATAGCATAATATAGTTTCTACATATTATTACTTAAAAATGTATGTATTATATGTATATTTTTATGTAGATTGTATAAATTATCATACAGCATCAATTGATTATAATGACATTGTCTGAGATCTCCATTATTTTTCATACTATTAAAATGAAGTGATAACTTTAAAAAACATGTTTATATTTTTGATTTGTTAAAATATTTTTATTATTGTTTTCAATGTATAATTTTGTGAATTCTTTATAAAATTGCATGAGATTGGCTTGAAACACTATATTAACTAACGAAAATAATTACATAATTATAATATTGTGTTTTTTAATTATATTAATTTATTATGTTTATTAGGGTGGTTAAAATTTTCATTTTTTTATATTTTGAAACTGGCACCCCCTCAATTTTTTTGAATTTATTAATAAATTATTATTTAATGTTTAAACTATGATATGATTGAAATAATTGTTTACTTTTTTTTAATACAGGTTCCATTAAAATGATGTCCAACAAAACTTTAATTTAAATAATTGATTTTAACATTTTTATTACTTAGCCATTAGGGACCTATGATTTGTATTTCGAAGGTTTTGTGTCATGTGTTCTTCTTATCGTTAAATTCCGTTGAAATTTGGCATAATCATGATATTACAGATAAGAAAAAAATGTAGGGGGTGCCAGTTTCTAAATATCAATAAAGTTGAAATTTGATCCACCCTAATGTTTATGTTATTTTAAATGTTGACCTTCTAGTTTATGTGCTACATTCAAACCTTATGGCAACAAATATATGATGATGGTACAGATTTACAAATAACTGATAACGGCTACGTGGAAGCCGTGTACACAATTATAAGTAAGAAATGCATATTTTTCATTCATTAAAAGTAGATCAAAACTTTAAATTTTTATGTTTATTATTTTTTACATCATTACATGAAGCTTTTATTAAATTATAATAAAATTATACTTTTTAATTGTTTTAAGGTACTCTCGGGGTCTATTTAGTCGGTATAATAGCTGTACCAGGCTGGTGGCTTATAGGAGTTCTTACGTTTAGTCAAGCAATTTTACTATTTAAAATGGCTCAAGACCATTTATTGTCACATGCTTATGTTGGCTATATTATTTTTGGAACGTTTTACCACGTAATGTCAACTGTAGCAAAGTGAGTGAAGTGTATAATGCAAACAAGCACAATGCAATAAGCACAACATAATAAAGGATTAAATTGTAAATAAATTGTTCTAGTTGTGAAGTAGCCAAAAACATACCAGAAGATAGTTACGCACTGGTGTTTGGAGTTAATATGTTTGTTTCTCTGATCCTTCAGACTTTCATGACTATAATTATAAACAGTCCTATTGGACTTGAACTAACCATTAGGACACAAGTAAGATACTCGCTACAAATAATAAACATGTTTTTTTGTAAATTTAAAATACTTAAACATCCAATTTGTATCAATTCTAGTTATGCAGTTGACTAGCAAGCTAGATGTACAGTCCTAAGCTTACACCAAAAATGAAAAAAATCTATGTAAAATTATTTTCTAAAATTATATTTTTCAGTTTTATGTGTATTCCGGTTGTTGTCTTATCATTGGAGTATTGTACTTGATAAAAGCTACAGTCACGACTTATAAAAGCCAAATGAAAACGACCATTACAGTTTCTACCAATCATTGAATTATTAATAATAATAGTAATATTGCATACCCAAATGTGTTGACTCTTATGTGACTTGTGTTAAACATAATAAAACATATTTTTATACAAACTTTATTCATCATAATATATAGTCAATTAGAGAGACTTAAATAGCTTTGGTCCTACTCCTCCAAATTCCTTTAACCTCTTATATCCTTCGAAAAAACCGCCAACTAAACCGGCATAGCATCGCATGGCTTTTCTTTTTTTGGTTAACATACCATTGAGGATATGTTACGCGCTTGTGTTTGGAGGGAAATTGGTCAGTTAAAGTTTGCAATGATTCTTTCACAAGACATTAGCATATCAGGCCTATGATTTGTACCAAAATAATAATACATACATAGCTATTACTAATAAGATTTACAATGAGTCGCAAGTTATTTTTTTTTTTTATAAATAAAAATATACTTTTTGTGCGTTGACAATAATTGCAACGAGTACTGTTATACAACGTACGTGGTGTTTTATGCCACTCTGTTAAAGAGATAATCGGCGCGTGAAATCTATAGCGGAAAATTGTCGAGAAAAAAGGAAATTGTATAAACACAATTATGCGACGACTGACGACTTGGATTGTTAATGTGTGCATAACGGCCGGGCAAACGTAGGCTATTGTCTTCGCGCGGTGAAAATGTATTATTATCATAATAATAATTATAACATGAACATCGAACAATGAAACCAAACTGAATTGTATTGTTTGTGTTCTTATAAAAACTCCATGCTTGTACTCGACGAAAGTTATTTCTGTAAACGAATTCGGTAACGAACAAAATGCGGTTCGCGTGTAAATCTTACAAATATTTGTTTTCAATGTTTTCTGTTTAGAATTAATTGTTAATTCGACGCCAGTGTATATTTTATTGTTAACGATTGCCGTTATTATGGTGTCTAAAGTACAAGTTTTCGTGTTACTGTGCTGTGCAGTGACCGCGATCGTATCGTCGTCGATTTCTCCAAAAAATATCCAATATTCAAACGCAGTAAATAAATATTGTAACATTATAATAATTACACGATTTGTTTTTTTTTCCATTGTATTACCTTCCGACTTAACACTATATCTGATACTACTACTGCTCCATAAACATTAAATGTAAAGCACGCGGAAGCAGTATTCCTAGCCTATAATAAAAGTTGTTTTAAAACTCGTAAAACAGTTTTTATTAAAACAACTTTGATAATTGGATATTTCCTATAAATGTTTAAAAATAACTGTCTAAATATAATATTTTGAAATAGTTCATTGATTTCTTCAAGTCCTAGTTAGTTTTAATAATGGTGGTTATAAATAAAAGGATTTAAATAAATACAAGATTGAGGGGGCAATGTCTCTTGGCTCTTTGTCTTCCCTTGATCCTCCCCTGATTAGATCCATATTTTTAATACACATCTTTATATTATATAAAGGCAGGGATTTGGCCACTTTTACCAATTTTAAAATATTTGAAAAACCTTAAAGACTTAATGTTATGTTTAAATTTAGTCTGACAGCGGCAGATCGTCAAATAACTTTAGAAGCAATAGGCTTACAAGAGGAGCAAAACATCAGTCCATGTCAAAAAAACAGAACCGACGTGAGTAAAATTATCTAACGCCCATTGGCGGAAATGTGGGAAGGGTAGAGGTGAGATACCACAAAACATACATTTTATAGATTTTATTTTTTATCGAGAAATTTGTTGAATATGATCAATTTTAAACAATCCTAATTTGAACTTACTGTGTTTTGAGTATGCATAGTATAGTCTTCCAAACATTTCCGCCAATGCTAACGTCCCATTCAACCAAAATGTTATAATTTTCTATAACCGAATTCATCAATTATATTATACTAGTGCTGTCATTGTTTACAATCGTGCAATTTGAAAACCAACCATGTTACTCATCGTCTGGCGACTCTGGCATTTGTATGACCTCCGCAGAATGTCACCAACACCTAGGAGTGCCAATCGGATCGTGCGCCAATTCCTATGGGGTTTGCTGCTTATGTGAGTAATTAAAAGATTTATTACATATGACGGTAGTATTTGAAGACGTATCTTACATTTATATATATATATATTAACAACACATAAAATATGTGTATGCATGATACGAAAAGGGACCTCTTATCTACAAGTCGCAAACTCCAAAGTGCAATAACTCATTTTATATATCTACAAACATGTATCAGGTCTCGAGTTGCTCAAAAATCATTCATGATTCAGAAAATAACACTAATTAAATTTTGGAAAATGCCGACAAGAAGTTCCTATTTGCTTTGCGCGTCACGTATTGTAAATTAAAACAAATATAAATAAAATTGAAATTATTTTGTTTTTTCTAAAAGTGTATAGGTATACCTATGATATTTGAACTTTTTTATTTGAATGAACTATTTGTATTGTTTAAAAATATTTTATATGAATAAAGTATCGAACGAGCTAGGTAATAATCGCTCCGTTTTACTCGAGCAATCCTCCCCATATAAAATTAATATTGTATTATAACTGCCATTATGAATGCTCTCTTTTTGCGAATGTAGCCCTGACGACGTGCGGTCAAACCATTCGGGAAAACGGTACTTACTTCGTAAACGCTGGATATCCAGACGGTTTAAATGACACAGGTACTTGTCAAGTGACTCTGCACAAAGCTTCTCCGTTTATTTGTCAGTTTAGGTAAGAAAATATTTTAACGATATTTAAGAATAATAAATAAGTTTTTTTTAGGACGGTAAATAGTTGTAACAGTAATAGTAATATACATAATAATAAGTGTGTTTTTTCTTTGTGATACGAAATTTAAAAATTATAACCATTAACCCAACGAAATAATTAGTTGACTTATAATAATACAAATATTATCAATAGTTTACACCTAATTGGTAATAATATAATTAAACGGTTATTGTTGGTAAATCAGTATTTAATGAAGAAAATCAAATATTTTAATACATATATTATAATTATCTAAAGAGATTATGATAATAGTAATACAACTTTTATAAAAAAAACAACTGATCGTATGTAATTTCTTCGATTTATTTCGCTCAGAAGTTTTCCTGAGTAAAAATAATTTCCAACGATTTTTCCCTGTGCTTTATAATTCCAGACAATAGTTTTTTACTCACCTCCGATGTTTATTTTTCCTTGTTGCACACGTGCTATCTAATATCTTCTGGAGGGAGAGTATAAACAAAAATTGACAAGTTATATTTAAGAAAACGGTGCTCCATTTTTTCTACTTTCTCCATATTCCTAAAATATTAAGTCACTTCCTCTTTCCGTACGCCGAAATTGTATGTCCGTAATATCCGTAACGCAAAACCATTTACACGTTTGGTAAAACAATAACAAACAAAATTCAGTTTTGTCTATTTATTATTTAGGTTAGACTTTGAACGGTTTGTCATTTCGGGGCCAGAGCCTATTAACCACCAGTGCGATAACGATCAGTTCATTGTGTCTGGATCAAATCCCGTGCCTGTAATTTGCGGCATGAACACAGGAAGTCACAGTACGTACATTTTATACTTTAGAAATATTTAGGTGGCCGTTCCCACATAGACAAGATTAGGCAAACTGCAAGGAGGACTAAAGATTTATTTTATCTGTTCAGTGTACGTTGATGCCGGCACTGGTACGAGCCCTATCATACTGACTATGGTAACAAGTGGTGTTCAGTTAAAAAGAAACTGGAAAATAAAGGTCAGCCAAATCGCATGCGATTCTACGACAAAAGGTTAATATTTAAACATATTTACAATTTTTCAACTCTTTATGTATCTTTTTATTTAATAATCGTAAACGTTGTATCTGACATGTTTAAGCCGATACCGGTTGCCTACAATACTACACCGGGATATCGGGCACGGTCAGATCGTACAACTACGAACCTTATTCGGGCCTTCACTTGTCCAATCAAGACTATACGATATGTTTAAGAACCGAACGGAATTTTTGTTCTGTACAATACACCGCATGCGATGATCAGAGTGAGTGCCAATAGTGTAAAGCTAGATAATAATGATTTATAATCAACTATCAACCGTATTTGACCGCAGTGAATAACAGAAGTCACGCGTTCACGTTGACCGGAAACACTCTTGGCCAAAACGCAGTGCAAGCAAACGTAGGTAGTGTCGGGTCGAGTCCATGCAACTCAGATTATCTCGTTATACCGTGTGTCTCGAACAAACAAGGGCCCGTGGCTTCGGGCATGAACACTTGTGTGGACCGACTTTGCGGTGGAACTTTAAGTACAGACTACACTACAATTCCAACGGCTATCATAAGTAAGCAATCGATTATTGTTGTTCATATACTATATTATGATCTAGTCTCGGTGCATCATGGAATACCTACTAAGCATACGCCTTTTTAAAACTTTTAAAGCTCCCAGAGTGTTTGGGGAAAAAATTATAAACGTTACTAGGGGTGGGTAAAGGTATGTCTAATTAGTTGACGACATTTTTTGTGAGCATTGATCTTCCCTAGCCTCCCTTTCTCATCTAGCTACACCAATGGACTTCACACAATATTAGGCGAATGTAGTTCCCTCGGGGAACACAAAATGATCACTAACCTGACCTGATTTTTAGGTAACCTGTTCTATAATTGGGAGTTAAACTAGACCTATGTCATTTAACATGATTTTTTAGTGCTCGGTGTTCCATCAAAAGGGATATACTGAATATGGCACAGGCTTGTACCGGATTTTTTGTTCTTAATTTATGTTAATTTTTGCAGGCAACGTACGACCTTTTCGATTGTCGTTTCACACGAACGGAGTAGAAATGCCCAACGATATGGGCAATCGTGGATTTTGTTTAAATTACATTCAACAACCGTGTAACGCAAATTACCCGTAAATTATGATTTTTACACACGATGGATTTTTATTTAACAAATTGTATGTATGGAAAAATGTTAAGTTTATTAATTTTAACAAATATATATTATACATATAAATAATTCGTTAATACATAAACTTATAAAATATTAGGCGTTTATAATTTGATTTGCTGCGTAACCGGGAAAGGCATACAAAAACAACCATTACGAATAATAATATTGTTATACACACTAGAATACCGTAGAACTTTGCTTTGCTGTTATTGAACAACACATGTTTTAACTAGAACGTACACGGATGGAAAATCGAATTGAAATAGCTATATGTCGGTTTCCTACAGAGGGAAAAATTCAAAAGGTCTATGATAAATTGCAATAATAAAGATGTACGCTATACTCGGTCAAAGGTCGCGATGCGTCTCTACCGAAACCTGCCGGTGATTTTTCAACCTCTTGTTTGGTCGATATTTTAAGTTCAGCGTCTATCTTTTCCTAAAGTAATGTTCGAATCGTGACAAAGACTTTGCAATGACTCTTGGGAGTGATAATATTATTGTATACATACTACTACTAGTCGCTTCAAATCCGCTGTATTGGGTATGTATTGAGTGATAAAATCATAATATAAAGTCACTTTTTTGTGAATCTGGTTAGCCAATTATTCCTTATTATGCTGGGTTTTTTTAATGCGGATTTCAATATCATCATACAGCCGGCGCATTTGATAGGCAATTTTAGTACATTGATGCGTTTTATTATTTAATTGCCTTTTATTAAACTTTTTAAAATGTAATCTATATAAATTATAATTAATATCCCCTAGGCTTACTATACTAAATTTAAGTACCTTAGAGACAGCCCCCCTCTCCAGAATTTCTCCAAGTAACCTTATGCATTTTGCAAATAATGTACTTTGTTAAGAATATGAAGGATCTTCTCGGTGGTGTTCAAACGTGTTGAAACATTTTCAATTCGGAACGCACTAGTTCACAGCGTCTATCGAAATAAGAACCTATGTATTTATGTAATATGTTTTCCTATGTACTTATTGTTAAATGTAAAAAAAATGTAAAAAAGCCGGACCGAAACAAGTTAAACCGTCTGACGTGTTTCGGCAGCAATTTCTCATTGTAACAATAAGTACAAGGCATAGACACTGGTGTTGGAACGATGGACAATAATTGGGCTGTATTACATACATATTAGGATCGGAGGAATCATCTTCCGCAACGCACCAGCCAGAGTCAATTACTATTACCTTTAAAGCCCTTTCACAAGTATTAGCATTGGAGAGATTATGACCACAGCGTATCTCGAGACAATATCGGGAATTACGCCATCTATTATTAGTCTATCCAATAGTTGTCAATTGATTTAAATTAACAAAGTTAGCACAGAGTATCACAATGCTATGTGAGCAGTTCTCCGCATCTGACGTCCACAGTGCAACACATAGAACGGGACCTCTGATTAGGTTCTCACAAATATCATTCAATTTATGTTAGTCACCATAATATTATTAGTAAATTCCGCATCTCGAAATAAATTGCATGGTATAATAATGATTTCTGTTGTAAGCGGCATAACTCAAGAGAAATTTATTTAAAAAATTAAAAACACTTTTTCTATATAATTTAGTTGAAAAAACCTTGTTTGTACTATAATTTTGTCTCAAAATCACTACTAACAACTGAATAACGTATAAAATGATGGCACGTTATGTATTATCAACACATATACTATAGTAATAATGAATAAAGAATAGAAATAACATACATAATAATAATAATAATAATAATACATGATGTTCACGTACGAGTACTAACAAAAACATTACATTTTTTTTAAGCGCATTACTTACATTACGAGATAATAATAACCAATAATTTCGCGTGTAGTGTAGTGTGTAGGTACGTGAGTGACTATTTTGTTAACAAAATACAATTTGAAAAAACAAATGTTTTATACTTTTGTATATTATTATTATGTATACAATTATGTTTCAACTTGTACGATGATCTCTATAGTTCAACATTAAAAAAATTCTAAAAAAAAAAAGACAATTCATATATTTTATGTGTAATAATATATTATAAATATATTTATACAATACCATACACCAAAGCGCACTATAACGGCCACAGTCAATTCGATGTTAATAATTATTATATCTGACATTTTATTTGATGTCCACATAGTATTCGAGTATATACGTATATATTTATAATAACATTTTTTGTTAAAACTTGATAAGCCAGTTAAAAATAATCAAAGATGAGTAAGTTTATAAAATAATAATAATAATAATAATGAGTATAATATAGTATTTATTGTATAATAATAACAATGTAAACAAACGAATCTAGCTCAAAAATCTACTTAATGATTCAGTCTTAAACATACACTTATAATAATAATAACAATATAACCAATATATTATGTTATAAAAAAATTAAATAAAAGCATTGCAGTAGTTCGATTTTTACCTAAGTGGCGCGCCCAAGAATGTCAAAAATGTATATAAACCCCTTCCCCAAATCCCCAACTCCAAAAACGAATGTTTTTTTTTTAATTTGTACCAATCTATATTAATTATATTTGTAATGTATATTTCTGTCAATAAAACAAGTCCTGTGAGCGCCACAGATAACAGACAAAATAAAACAAACAACAAACTATAACCGTTGAGTTAAATTATTCATTTGTATACTTAAATATTATTATGCATTTAAGTTATTGAAGAAAATAATGCCAAAATGAACAATAATAAAGGATTTGTAAACATTGATTAGTGTATCAACGTCCAGTATTTTTATTCGCAATAATTTTCTAAATAAACGTTTACATTATGTTTATCAGTCAGCTTTCTCTAAAAGAAAGTTCCGCCTTGAAACTGTTATGACATAATATTATACTGAAACGTTGAAAATGTGATTTACCTTTGATCTATAATTTTGTATAATGCTAGTACAATTAGTATATGATTAGAAATTGTTTTGGTTATAATGGTGCAGAATGATTGCGTACTGGTGATCAAGTGTAGTTTAATCTCAACTCAAAGCGTTCATTTTTAAATTAAAATATTGGATTTATAAATGCAATTTACAATTTACAACAACATAACGAAATCTCCGCCATTGCACAAATACCATTGCATTAAATAGATTTCAACATTTTTGCTAATACTTAAGTAAAATTGCTAGTTGACTGATCATGGCCAATGTTTTGAAAAATTAACAAATTATAAACAATGATGTAATTGGATGATAACAAATAAAAGAGTAATCAACGGCTGAACGATTTTTTTTGGAATATGTTTATGTGTGATTATTTTTTATCTATGTTGTATCTTTTTTAAAATTATTTTTACTCAAGACTCCTTCAAATTTGAAATTATATTCAAAGGATTTATGAGGACATCCGCAGGAGTATTCTTAGATAAGTTAGATAACCCAAAAAGTCGCAATGCGAAACATATTTATGTACGCAATAGTATGCAAAAATGACGGATCAAATGTTTTTCACTTCTCAGCCCAAAGTAAACGATTTAATTCATATTTTTTGGGAATTTTCGGGGAAATTCGATACGGCCGTTTCCTTTTATTTATTCCGTCCCGATATTTATGATGGATTTCGATTTAACGGAACAAACAAAATGTAAAAACGATTACCACTCTTACGCGTGTATATAGTGTAGGTAGTATGTGTACAACATAATATAGTTCAAGTGCGATTAATCAGTTTGTACAAGAGGTCATCGTGATTCGTGAAACCGGAAACGGGTCGGTCACGCGATGTGTACAAAGTACATACTATTATAATACATTTAATGCGTTTAACAAACCGATAACTAAGTAGATAACTTTAAAAAAAAGAATATTAGGACGTATTGACCGGATTTTTGTTTTCGACATAGGTAAGCGTTTAGACAACTATAGTTAATATTATGACATTAGAGCGAGTCAACTAAAAAAATACATTTAATAAACATACAATCAACAACATTAAATGTATACAATAACGCTATTATCACAATAACTGCGCGCCTAAAACCTATAGGGGTTTACTGGTAACTTTTGTAATACTAATTTTTTCCACTAAAATTAACTACGATCAAAATTGTATTGAGCCTCGTTGATTATCCAAAGTACATATTATTTTTATTATAATGATGCTTGAATTTTTCCTCTACGTAACAATTTATTACATTATGTATTAAGTACTATCTATTAGAACAGCGGACAATGCGATTACAGTGATCTTGTGATGGACCTAATAGGCCTGTTGATAATATAATGATTTCAAATTAATAATAATATAACCGACAAACTACTTAAGTAGAAGATAAAAGTCTGTTACGCAAAAAGTACAGGAAAAAAGGATGTACTCGTAAGTCAGTTTGTTTTACTTTAAAATTTAAATTTCGTATTATTTGTAAGGGTATAGGTTACGAGTTGAGATTGTTTTAATATTTCAAATAAGTAAATATAAAAAAAAGGAAACAAATCCGGTACTGTATATTTATAGTTTTTAATCTACAAATGTTTTCCAAGAAAATGTTGAGAAAAAAGTGACCTAATACCATTTTTTCCTGTACCTCTTACACAATTTGGAAAAGATGTCGCGTTCTGAATAGCGCAAATTTTGATTTTAGTTGAAAACATTGTACAAGAAACATTCATACTTTGTGTAATCCGGTTCAATTATTTCAATTTTTTTTATTAACAGGGTCAGCCAAGGGAATGAACCGGATCATACTAATATAAATGTAAACAAATACTTATGAATCAATGCACTTTCATTGCGTTCACTCCTCGTTTCAATATAGATTTTTTTCCACAATCGAGAAAAAATATTTTATTTTAGCTATGTCAATCTTTGCCAATTGTATTTTTTTGGTTTAACAAGAATAAATTATGTATTAATATTCATTAGGAACGGTTAAAATTGTCATTTATTATTATTTTTTATTTGACGTAGGCTCAAGTCATTATAGTAAAAATAATAGTTAAAATTTCTTGATAATATTTATAATAATAATAATAATAATTATATAATAATAATACTAATAATATTAATTATAGTAATAATAATAACATAATACTATAGGAACAAACAACTTGTAATAAAATACAATTCCAAAAAATGATTATTTTTATTAATAGTATGCTTCTCGTTTCATAAGTATCATCATAAGTATTTTTTAAACACTACATCTAATTTATACACTTTTTTTTGTTTTTAAAGCTCAACAAAACTAATTCAGTGCAATTTAAAATTGATAGGCAATTTTTTTTAATGACAAAATACTTATTAAAAAATGATCGTAAACAGTCGACTTTATACCTTTGATAATATTATTACTTAAATTAGAGTTGGGCACGGGTTTTCTTTTGAGTAATTTTAATTAAATTCTATCAATTGACCTAAGGATATAATTTCAACAGCGGCAGTCACATAATATATAAGACGGTTGTGCGCTACTGGCACGATCATGTTTTGAGTTTGCACGTCTCGCATTAATACAGTATTATATTATATACACGGTGTTCAACGAGGATTTACTCAATGCAGCTATTTCTTCTAAGAAAATGTTAAAAGATTTTGAAATTGCATTGACATTTTTATAATTATTGCTATGATACAGAAACAAACACTGTAATTGATATTTATTCATATAGTTGCGAACAGCCTAATAACTTTTACGAGATCGATTAATTAAAAACTATACGATTGGACTCAACAAATTTTGAGTGATTATTTAATTAATTACTAATTTTATTGTACGGTTATAATAAAAGGAAAATGATCTATCTTTCCCTTTGTATGCTCAAAGTTTCTGCTTTTATCTGTAAAAAAAACTAACAATTTGTAATTATGTATGCCACATTGTTTTCTCAGATAAAACTTGTGTTAAAAAGTACTAAATTTCGGTTTAATGTTGAGTTGAATTCTCGTGAATCACGCTGTGTATCGACATGGATCTCTGTTTAGGTTTTTTCGGTCTTAATGCGTTCCCATAGGTTTTATGCCCAACCCCTGAATGTCAATACGTTAAATTGATATCGCCGTAAAATATTATTAACTCATCAGTAATTTACAACCGATCTATTGCGATTTAAACTCTTTTTTTTTTTTTTATAAACAACCTATAAAAAATAATTACATTTTTTTCTTACTACGATTTAAACAAGAAAACATAATATATTGAAATTTGATACGACGCGACTGTTTTCATCTAAAGACAAGTCAATCGTTTTTAAATCGAAATATTATTATTTTTCTTTAGCCCGTAACGTTATCGAGTTTAGTATCTTTAAATACGAAAACCGACGGCTTTAAAATACTAAATTATTTTTTATGTATTATAATAGTGCTTTTTTTTTTCGTTCTTTAGCTTTATAAACAAAACGTAATAAATAAATGGACGTATGATTGCTCTCGGGAAGAACATTCAATTGATAACAAAAACAAAGTTCAACAATTTCATAATTATTAATATTACTTATTAACAAAAAAAAAAAAAAAAAACATCAATAATACTTAACTTATAGGAAGTGATCTTCCATGTCGAGTTGCAGCAGCTCGAGTTCCGCGCGATTTTTCCGTTTGCAAAACACAGTCAGACACAACAGTCTGAGCATGACCCGGAACTGCGGGCTAAGAAAGATGAGCACGAACGCCTTCCAAACCGAGTTGGATATGCCCAGCCAAAGGGCGTAGAAACGTACCTGGCCGGGCACAGGCGGCGAGTCTCCCAGCTGCTGATACGCTTTGATTGACATCAGCGGCGTCCAACACACCCAGAACGATACGATCAACACGAACGCAGTCACGTGAGTGGGATTGGACAAGTTCTCCGACAGCGCAGTAACGTATTCCTGTGAGTGGACATTGCGAACCCGATAAAACAATTAAAATATATAATATACATCCATAATAATAATATATAATATACATAATATCAGCACAGTGACTCCGAGGGAGCTTACAGTGAGTAACCACACTATCTGTGCCCTGATAACATGGTCTCATACAAATAATATAAATCCTAAACGAGCTTCAATTAGTAACTTCACTTAAAACTTCAACTAAGAGTACCACAAAAAAACTCTTGAATGTGATAAAAATACGATTTCGTTAAATTAAAATTATTTTTTTTACAAACATTTTAATAGAAGCCATAGATGGATACTTAGTTATTTCTGTTTTCTAATAAGAATTTAAGTTGTGGAGTAGTACTTAGAATATCGGTATTTCAAAAACACGGATTTGACGAACTGTCCAGATTTTTTTTTTTATCAAAGTTAGTAGTAAAATCATTTTTTTTTTTTACATTTCGAGCTAATTTGAACGCTTTTTTTTTAAATTTAGGATGATTTTTTTTAGCGGCGATAGAATTACATAAAAAAATCACCTTGTCGTGTGCTAAGAAACCCCGCCGTAACCTTCGTATAGCACCATAGATGTACACATAAGTGTACAGGATGGTGATCAGACTGGGCCCCAGAATGAGTATGGATAGCGTTACCGAATACGCCGCCATGCCCTGCCAGTCAAGCATGCACACCGCAGTGTCTTTGTCAAAAACAGGTTCGCCAAACTCCAACAGGGGCGGACAGCACAACATAGCAGACGATATCCATGTGAACGCCATCCAGCATTGGCACCTAGTCCGTGTCTGCACGGTAAAGTACCTGACTGGTTTGCGCACTGCTATGTACCTAGAAACAAACACATTTGTTTCATTTTAACAAATATAATACATTATTGTTTTAGATGAAAATATTATGAAATCCTAATTGCCGTTTTGTTAACTAGCATAAGATAAAGTCAGAGTTGGGAATTATTCGAATTTGATTTAAATACAAATATTAGCGTATTATCACGTTATTCAATTTGTTTCAAGTGTTATTTAATTAAATTTAGCCCAACTCTGTATATTGGGTGTATACAGTGACCAATAATTAATTATGTATATACAGTATATCTTCAAAGCGGCGCTCAAGCTTTGTTAAAATATGATTAAATACTGTTTTGACTTTTAAGAGAGAAAAAGCGATTTAAATAGATTTTGACTATGGGAAACTGCGTTAAAGAGGTGAAATGTCCAAATCTAAAACAGCGCTATCTGTATGATTTTTAATTTCACCCACTTCCGGGAGGCGGAGTTTTTCAAAATTTGGGTTCGAGGTATTATGTAAATAGAAGCATGCTTAATCAATGTTCTAAAAAATTTCAACTACATCCTACCTTTTTTCGCGAAGATATGGCTAATTAATGTCGATTGAAAAACCGGTCAAAATTTGTTTTTCGGTTTTTCTCGGGTTCGAGGATGAAGTAGTTGACCCACCAAAGTACAAACCACATACGATTTCAGATTTATAGATGTGCTACTCGAGTAAATCGGTCAATAGGAAAAAAAAGTATCGCATTGAAGCTAAAAATAGTTCACTCTCAATTAATTATGAAAATACTAAAACGGCGTATAGGTTAGGCAATTTAATAACTTCGGTGCATACAAATAAATTTGCTCTGTTCTGGCTGTTCGCAAAATAATGCCAGTGTACATTTTTTGCGATAAAAGTTAAGAACAGAAGTACATTTTTTGAAAAAAATATTTTTCAACAACAAATATATTTAAATACGCATATATTTAGTTCAAGTGTATAATGCAATTATTGGATGGGACTTTATTTGGACTACTATAAATAGATTATTAAAAAAAAAATACAATGCAATGTAATATTATCCCCAATTTATCTGTTATTAATGGACGGTGGGTAAACGTTTGCAAAATAGTATGATAATAATAATTAGTCACCTGTCCACACTAATCCACATGAGAGTATAAGCAGACACGGTCCACAACGACACTTCAATATATCCGATGATTCTACATGCGATGTTACCATAGACCCATTGTTGTACGAGTGCCGGGTACACGGAAAACGGCACTACGAGCACACCGTAGAGCAAGTCGGCCAGAGCTAGTGACACCAAGTATACATTCATCACCTCTCCTCCACCTACGAAAACAATGTTTACACAATGCATCATTTAAGTAAATAATTACTATCATCACACACATAGTTGGGCAAGATATTCAACATTTCGGAAATTCCAACCTAAATATGCTTTAAACATATAATTTTTAGGTTAAGATATCAGCTTAGAATGTAAATGTCCTATATTAAAAGTTTTAGATTATGCAAAACTATGATATTACAGTGTAGCTGTAATACATCTGGTACTACATACTTGAATACTGCAACAGTATTACATTGTTACACTGTAAAACACGAATATCAATAAAATTACCTCGTATGTTGGTGAACGTAGCGATGATGAGGATATTAAGGAGGATGATGGCGACCGCCATGGTGAGCACCAGCGACGCCTGGGTTAGGGGCTCCAGGATGTGGGGAGGTGGGCTTCAGTAGCACGTGCCCACCGCCATTGTTGCTATCTATCATGCATCACGACCTTTAAAAAAAATATTTTGCAATTTTATTATTATTTACACCTAATAGTGTTCACACACTATAACTACGTTTTCCATCATCTCGGACAATACATGGGAAATACATATTGCTTAGTATTCACAAATACTATTGTTAATTACGTTATGGATAAAACATAGTAATATGTAGTATGTGTAGTATGTGTATTACTTATCATAGTAATGTATGAGATGAAAATAATCGTATTAAAGCACAGACAAGTAAATCAGCTGCGGTGTATAAAAAACAAAAACAAAACCTGCTATAAAAGCTTTAAAATAATAAAAATCGATTTTTTAAATACATACTGGCAGGTTTTTTTTATTATAGTATGTCATGCAATATGCAACATTATATAGATATTAGTATAATTTTATTATTATCTATATTTGAGTAAAATCATAATACCTTATAAAACCATAATATTTCAAATAAATGTTTGTATAATATTCAAAAATCTATTTCACGACACAAAAAATGTGTTTATTGATTGTTTGTTTTTTTTGTAATGTTAATGACTTATTTGTATACTACGTTTTTTTTAAGTGGCTATTTTATATCATCGTCATGATATTGTATCTATAACGATATATTTTATATGTTCTTATGAATATTCTTATCCATTTCATTGTAATGACCTTCTATACAGTGGCGTGTTGACCGTGTTTCCATGGGCCATGGCCTCTATTTAGGTACATTGGAAGTTAACAATGGGTGTACATATACATAGTATAGTGGGTATTAAATGATGTAAATAAAATGTTAGGCCGAATTTCTAAAACGAGTTCAACACGCTACTATAAATATTATATTATACATCAACAAAAATTACCTAGTAGGTATGCATTTTGTATGCCTAAATATTATAATCCTAGTTTCATCATAGTGAATATTATTGTCTTGTTTGTTTTTATTATTTAATCAAAACATCATTACAATTTTGTAGTTAAACATATATGTCATTATTATTATTTTAAATATGGTTGTGTGTATGAAAATATATTAAACATGAACTTTATAAATATAAATACAACATAGGCCAGCAACTACTGATTATAAATACTTTGATACACATTGCCTCTTCTGTGTACAAACTATTAAATATACGCGTTTTAACATTTTACGGCTTCTATAATCATATTATGTGTCCCACAACCAAGGTGGTGGCCCTTTTCCCGATCGATGATTTCAATGAACCTAACTAGTCACACAAAACATGTTAAAACGAAAATTCTCCCATCATATACACAACTATACAAGATCTATAATATATTAATTGTTATTTTCGCTTTTATAATCAGTCCTAAGTACGGCTTTGAATAAAAATATAGTTTTTTACTTGTTCGCAACGAATGACCTAATATGTAAATACTAAATTATGAATACATAGTACATACAATAATTATAAAGTTATTATAGTTATTACAATTTATAGAAGCTAAAGATGATTGTGTTTATTCGTATTTCATGAGCAGCCTGACTTGGGGTACACATTTTTCAAGTCATTACTACCCCTTAAACTTTGATCATTCTAAACCTCAAGTGTAGTGTATATGAGGCCTAATAATACATAATCTGTCTAGAAACTATAATTAAAACTACACTGTTGTGAGCAGTGCGGGTTTTTGGAAAATGGTATTTGTCATAAAGGGTCGAAATCGCTTCAGGAGCACTTATCGATCCGAACACAATCAGGGTTGGCATGTTCAAAACAAAACTTATGGACATTTTTTACATCAAAATAACAATATTTACATTTTTTATCAATTGTTTTAAATGCTTAAAAACTAGGTTTTGTTTGTTATAAACAAATTTTTAAAAAAAAAACACTTATTTTACTATTCTTCAATGGCCCTAACACGGTCTGTTATTACGGCACTACAATCAAATTCTAATGCGATTCTTTTACATTGTCGAATACCCTAACTAGGAATCTTTTAAGAATACATGGAAAGACTTAATATATGTTAGGACAGATGGCTGCTGGTGGCATAGGAGAGGGTGGCAGACGATCAGCGTATGTGTCTCATAACGATACGAGTGGAGAGTATATTGGATCTAGTGTCGAAACGGATAAGCTGTACCCCGGACGGAGAAAACATCAGTGGCGATTGCTATCCAGCAGTTTTGTGCGACAACCTTCGAGCGATCGAAAGCCACAGAAATAAAAAATTAAAAAAAAACCCTACATGAAAGCACGCACGCCAAATGCGTGTAAATCGGGTGCTAGCTAATATTGTAATAATATAATATTATGTCACTAGAAAGTCGTTGTGTACTCACTCGATATCGGTGACATGACTGTGCTGGTGCTGGTAGTGGCTGTGATGGTTGCGGTGGTGGTGTGGCGGTGTCCGTGCCGACGGGGTCGAAATGCCGCGGTAGCGGATTAAGGAAATTATCGCGATTAATGTGATACAGCTGCGTGTAGTGATTTCGTGGTTGTTGTACTTGTAATAATTGTTAAAGTTTGGTATATTGCGGGCGACGACAACGACGGCGGCGGCGGCGTAATGATAATGATGATGATTGCGTACGGAGAGACGACTTGTAAAAAAGCGAGCGATTAAAAAAAAAAAAAATTTTTTAGAAAAAAATCGGGGGAAAAGAAAGATACTGTACGCGGAATGTTGCAAGAGCTACACTACTACCACTATCGTACACTGCGGTGGCGGCGGCCGAGTCGCACCTCCCCTTTTGACGGGCGCGCGCCTAGCGGCGGCAAACCATCTCCCCTCTTTGTCCGCGCCTCGCCCGCGCCGTCCGTCCGACTGCCGCCGTCGGGCCTATATACGCCGTCGTCTACCCCTACATTATATGCCCTCGGCCGACCTCCACTCGCCTGCCCCTCACGGCTGCCGCTTCCGCTATCGCATCCCTTTGCACTGGAAGCGGCTACGGCGTGACGTCAACCGAAGGACGCAGCGGTCGGCTCCAGTGTGTCCGCCGTCGTATCTGCGGCACTATCTGACTCCAGAGAGCACAACAGACACGAAGCTGCTTTTGGCGTTTCCTATAGCGCGCGCACAAACACTGACACACGCATGTATAGAAATGTGTTACATGCACAATTGCAAACATTTTATAATATTATTACTATTATTATTATGTAACTTACTGTTATTATACGATAAAAATAATAAAATGGGGATAGAGAATACGAGCCGTGAGCTTTTAAAAACCATTCAAGACAAATCCGGGGTTTGTTTTGTAGAAGAAATTCGAGCCCCGACAACGTTCCACACGCACACACAAGCGCGCGACCTCTTATAAATTATTGTTTTTATGAGTTAACGGGCGGGGTGAGGGGGAGATGGAGTAATATTTATTCGTACGAGTCCTGGCAGACCGAACGTTTCCCAGCGTCAGTTTTGACAAAATATAATTACACACTATTTAGAGTAATGGAAAAATCAACTCGGCTTCGTTTATTTATAAAGATGGATAACTTTAAATGAAAATATGAACCCACTATATCGAAAATAAACAAAAACGTCAAATTGGTATTTGTTTAACGGCCTAGTGTCATCTGACGCCTTTCAACAGGACGTGGCGTATTTAAGCTTGGCTTGGGTATGCGTATGCTTAGCACTATTATTTCAAGACTTATCATACTCCTCCGTTATTTGCGTGTTATACTTTGTCATACGAGATAAGGAATTCTATAATATTGTTGGTGTTAACACCCTCTCATTTTTTTAAGCGAAATTGTCCACCTGAACGAATACCATAGGGCAATACACATTTGGCTTGAACTTCTTGTTACACCATTGAGGTCCCGTAGACACTGATAAAACGGTAGTGAGATTAGTAATGGAAAAATGAAATGTCTTGGACATTGAATAAGAAAAATTAAAGAAATATAGATGTGGCTGAAATGGGCATGTTGAGATGAATGTGTGTAGAGAATAGAGACTAAGTTGGACGGAATGAGTAATGAGTATATAGGTATAGCTTATAAACACTAAGAAGAAGGGAACTAGAGAGTTGCAACCATAGCAGGACAAATTCTCTCAATTTGGAGCGCAGTTCCCCTCTGGTCTGTGATCAATAATTTTACGTTTGGAACGAAGATTTTAATATTGCAGAGAAGGCAGCTAGTTACGGATGCGACCTCTTCTTTCTAGGGCTTTATTCGAACACTTAGAGAGCAAGTAGCAACTTTGTTGATGAGCAAATGATCCAACCGTGCCTAAAGATAGGGGACTGTAAGATGAAGAGTGGTATATGTCCATAATTACTAACTTGAGATGAGCTCATTGCCACAGAGTAGATTGAGGCAGGAAATCTATATGTTACGGCAGATTGCGACCAATCAGTATGGTTCGTCCTTCGCGGTCCTCTATTTAGTATTTTCTCCAAATCGAACAACGTAATAGGAGGTGAACAATGTATAAGACAAGTGATAAACAAACTTTGCAAATTTAGAATGAAAACGAAAATACCATAGATTTGCCGAAAACGATGTGTAAGGCCTGAAAGAAATGCTCAGATAGCTAACGTCCTCTATCGTTCCATGTAATCGTGAACTAAAACAGCATCTTGTTGATCTACAATTTTTCCAAAATTTTTTTGACATGGTGATTGAATGAAAATGTTGATGCTTAAAAATGGTTTTCTATTATGATAATAATAGGTTGGCGTTCATTTTTTATCATTGGTAAATAGAACAGATGTTTATTAATGGAATTACTTCAAATTTTTTAATTAAATATGAGGCGAGGACAGCGTTTTACCCTTCCTAGAATAATATCCAGTCTCTAATTATTGTCATCACACATTATATTCGGCGTTTAGTTTAAAATGAAAGAATATTTTAAGAACATATTTTTAAAAAATGATGACATTCCAAAAAACTCATCTTTTGATTTAATAACTTGTCTAAGTAATGAGCATCAGCAAAACATCTACTAATTAATTGCCAATCAAAATGTTTCTCAATTTGCATTCGTATTAAACATCTTTTTTAATTTATGCATAGCATGATGTTCTGTAACAAATTCTAATTAACTATTAAACTCAAAATATTTTTCCATAACTTCATTCATTAATCATACATTTACCATAACAATTTTTATTTTTCAGTGAAACTCGTACTTCAATTTAAACGTCAAAATCAATTACCAAATTTAAATTTTGCTAATTAAAAAAATTATTTTATGGAATACATTATACATGCAAAAGTAGCACACTTAAAGTGCGTACCATGCACGGGATGACATTAATCCATGTACATTTGCATTGTATAGGTAACCGCCATTATATTTTCTATCTGTTTTTCTGCATTAAATTGAACTGAACATATTCTATACATTTCAATAACATATATTAAGAACAAAATAAAACATTGTAAAGATAAGATTTAAATACTTAAAAACTTCAATATTTTTTCATTTTATTTGTAGATACTGAACACTAAAATGTTTTAATGTATATAAAAGATAGAATCGTTTGACACTTCAAAATCGTTTTGATATACATATGCACTTTTAACCTTTGTTTTTTTTACCCCAGTTAACAAAATAAAAAATTGAATTTATAAACGTCAATTAATTTGATATTTTTCAAATTGAATTGACTGTAGTAACCTGAAAAATAATATATACACAGAGAAAATCATATAATGGTTATCTTAAGCAGAACAAACCAAGTACAGTAAATCATTTATTACTAAACTTATACTCAATACTACCTTACCAAGTACATTTAGTTACAATTATTATTGAAGTGTTTTATACACTTTTCAACTGAATATACTGTTTATATATAAAAATACAATTGAAAAAAAATGTTATACGTAAAATTTGTTTATATTTCATGTTTTACATAAAAATGATCAAATAACAAATTTACAACCAGTTCTTAGTAGACTTATAACACAAAAACTAAGAGTATTGTGGGTGATTGTGTGTTGACATAATAAGCAAACACGAATAATATATATATATATATTTAAATGTATTTTATGATAATGGTAATGTAAAAATGTAATAATAATTAATTACTTTGTCAATTAAAATTTTTTTTAATCATTTTTCAATATAACCACAATCTGAATGTAAGTAAGCATAGTAAGATTACAAAAACAAAAATAAAAACAAAAAAAGTGATGATATAAAAAGATTACTTAGTTTTTACTTATATGAAAATAAAACGCATAAACTACCTTTTTCAAAACTGTAGTGAGGGTATCTCATTTCAATATTATTAACAAATTATTTTTCGTGTATTGATGTTGAATCCGCAACGTCTGAATACAAACAAACATAAATTTATATAATGTTAATTGCGATATTAAAATTTAACATAACTATTATACTAATTAATTATAATCAAACAAGAGAAAAATATCCTAGATTATTTTTTTATAATGCTGTAGTACAAATAACATAATCATCATACACACAGGCAATGTATATTTTATAAATATATATACTTGTTTTTTCTTATTTACAATTATAGGTAAACCATTTTCTACACATAATCAGTTTGAACTTATGGGGCTTAATAAGTTGCATGCATTAATTAATTTTTTAAAAAGATTTCAACCTCAAAAAGGTATATATATATATATATATTTAATATTCAATAAAGGCAACGGAAATATTAATTAAATTAAGTTAAAAATTAATACAACCTAGTTTTTTTCCATTTCACAGATTAAATACACACCTTATACCTACCAATTTATAGTTTTGTCAAATCGGACAGTGTTCGATGAAATTGCCCTGTTTAAAAATCTACCACACCATCATGTTGTACCAACAATGAGGAACACACAGATGTCATGATCACCATCAAAACCAACATCATCAATATCAACAATACTGGCATCATCATCAACATTGGAAAATGACGCCACAATTAAGTTCATATAACCATAACACTCACATTCCTCCTATATGAATATAAAATTCACACTATTTTATAATTATATTAGTTCAACTAAAAAATACAAAAGGGGAAATATGTATGTAATTTAAAATGTTTTTATACTTAAAAAAAGAAGAAACAAATTTTCAATTAGTTTTATAAGTCAACTTAAAATTTTAAAATAAATGTAATTGTATATAAAGGTTATTATATGTGTATTATATCTTAACAAAGCCAAAAGAAAAAAAAATAGAAGAATATCAAATATATAATAAATAGATGTATTATTAGAGCGTAATGAAGAATTGAATTATATCCAAATAAACTTGTACAAACAATATATTTACATTTTATTCGAATTTAGTACTATTTCCTAATAGAAAAGTATACATGGGTGTGTACCACCTTCAACTTTTCTCTGTAGGAATGTAGTTATTACAAAAAATTGTGTACCCTATTTGTGGGTACACAGAAAAGTTGGAGATGGGTACACAGAGTATAATATATCCTACGACTATACACCACTGATAAATAAACAATATATTTTGTATGTTGCAATAAAAATGCTTTGATCAAAACTAAACCTAACAAAATTTTAATTGCTTAAAAATGAAAAACCGAATATCATTGAATTTATTATTTTCTAAAATGTAGTTTATCAAGTTAAAAAATACATTTAGAAACTTATACCATTAACTAAATAATAAATTATTTGATATGTAATTTATTAGTAAATTTACTGTAAACTATAAGGTAAAAATAAT